GGACACAAGCTAGTGTTGAGAAGCTTGGTTTCCTCTCTTTGGAGTTGCACTATCTAGGTATTTATCTATGGGTAACCCAACCTTCTGGAAGCGCCGGGAATGGCTGCCTCCCCTGATCATGCACAGTATGTCAGATATGCACTCCGTCAGAACCATGCAGTCTTCAGCAGCTGCTGCCTGACAGTTACATGTGGACAAGTGCAACTCGCCGCTGTTTCCCTGAGGCTCAGATACCTGTTCCTCTGTTCTCCCACTCAGCCCTTCACCCAGGATGGATTCCCCATTGATCAGTAAGTGTGCAGCTCCGCAGGGAGCAGAGGGAGCCCTGAGAGTGGCTTTTCCGCTCTCAGGTGCCCAGGTTCAGGGACACCAGTGGCATGTTTATCCTTTTAGCCAGTGTTGCCGGACTGTGACTGGAAAGGTTTGTCGTGTCTAAAGACTCTTGCTTTATTGGAAATGTATCCGATAAGGATGATATACAATCCAAAACAAGGTTGAGGAAATGAAATAGTTGCATGTTTCTTTCAAATCTCATAAACAATAGTGTTGACAGTTTTCTCAGAGAGGCTCTGTGTGTGTTCAAGGGTTTTTAGCTGGCTTTGTTGGAGGGTATTTGAGTGAAACGGTGCAGTTAATTTCTTTATGTACAGTATCTGCTAGTTTGTTCACTAAGACTTTGCTTTTTTCCACCCTGAGATGTAAACTCATGTTAAGTATTTGTCCTATTACTTTTGTATTTGTAGTTTCATCATGTATATGTTTGTCTCTGTATTTTAGTAGCTATAGATCTGTTGTGAAAAGATGAGGTTTGGTACTAAAATGGAGTGTGAATTTCTCAGAATAGAATGTATTGTGGTAAATAATGATTGATTTCTAATTTGAATGCAAAGGTTTCATGATATATGTACTGTACATATTTCTGGACTGAAGCCTTTATGCAAAGTGACATAGCTTTTTACCTATTCACATACATATTTTACTGGAAAAATTCTGGTGAGGTGCTGTACCTTAAAAGCAGTGTCTCACCTGGTATTGGAAACAACAACCTTCCAGTGATGAATCCAATGCCCCACTGCTCTTAATGTAATAATGTGGAACCTGTTCAAAAAATATTTTTTATTTGTAAGCGATAATAGATAAGTGGTAATTAAAAGCCCATTTTTTGTTTTAATGTACTGGCTGTTCTAATAAAAGAACAAAAATAATGTGACAGCTAGAATCTCCTCGATACTGGTTTATTTATAATTAAAATATGTGCTATATTGTATGTATTTTCAGGGTGCCCTTAAGCTCTATGAATATTTAATAAGAAGTGTCTGACCATACAGTTTCAGAAGAGTGCAGATCCTGAAAGAGTTTAATATGAGAATAATAGATATCAAAGAGAATACTGTCACGGAGGTTACGAAATGAAAGAGATGTGATTTCACTGAAAAATCATGTGTAACAGCACACTGGTTTTCTCAGTGTCCAAGAGAGAATTTCTTCTGGGAGAACTTAAAAGCATCAATGTCCACATCGCCAACTAAAGAGTTTTCTTTAGAACAAATGCTCCTTATCCCGGTGTGAATGAAGTGCAGTCCCATTGGATTGCACTACCTTTGTCCAGATTGTAGTGCTGCCTTCAGCTTTCATTGTTCCGGTAGCCGCAAAGAGAAAGCGAGACTGGTTTCCATGGCGGTCTCAGCCAGCCTTTAATGGCTGTTTTCATCTGATGAGGTGGCTTTGTTGACAAACACAATGGGTGCCAATATGTCATCAAGCCAGGACACTGACTCCCCCAAGGTTAGCAGCTTTAACAAAAAATGCATTACTCGACACCCGCTTTTCTCCTCAAACGACACACATCTGAAAAAGCCCCATGGTATTAAGCATGAGTGTTCTGTAAGACAGAAAAGAAGACCCCTGCTAACAGACTGATGAGTTACACATTCGGTTGGCCAGGAAGGAAGCGTATTATCAGTTCAGTTCAGTTTATTGTCATATGCAAAAGTGCAATTTCTGTAAATGCTTATTATACCATTAATATTATTAGTGGGGGTGGAACACTTTATGTAGAAAAATCTGAAAATTCCTGAATGTTTCCCAAAAGTAAACATTGTATCTGCTTTCTGCCATTCCTCACCTGTTGATACAGAAATAAGCATCAGTGGCACCCTCTGCCGTGTCTTGAAAAGACAAATGTATTACTGCATCACACTTCCCATAATAAATAATCTAGTTCTTTTTTGCAATTCAAAACATCATTAAATTAAAAGGGTGACGTGCAATTTTTTTTAACCAGATACTGAAATCATAGTTTAAACGTAGCCATTCCATATTTGTATAAGAAGTCCACTTCGGATCTTTGTTTTTTCTTTGAGGAAATCTAAACTTTGGATTTATAGTGCAATTCAGATAGAAATCTAATTAGCCCTAAAATTTGATAGTGCCTCATAAAGTGGCTTTTTGCTTTGCTGCCCCATTTTTTAAAGCACTTCAAAGGAGGGTGGTGCTCGGCCTGGAATGATGGAGTAATTAGTTCTCTTGATGCGAGATTGCATCTATCCCCACCACTTGACATCAGTTGTTGCCACATTTACAGATAGGGGCTTTTAGGGAAATGTTCAGATTTGGCCGTTCTGTTACTGTAAATGGGGGCCCTTGCAGGGCAACATGTAATTTGGCTGGAAGGGAATAAACAGGAGGTTTCCTTACAGTTGTTCTCTGGGGAGCAGAGAGGTGAACCTTGGTGGAGTTTTCGTGGTAGGTTTCATACTGAGCACAATCATATGTAGACTGTATGGTGATAATCAAACAGTCAATTGAGGGATCAGAACCAGAAGCCAGTGAGAGGAATATTGTAGATACCCTGTTTTATCCCAGGGTTGCTTGTACGGTCTTTAACCCATGTGGTGTTGTGGCATGTGCAGAAGATTGTCATTTTAATGCAGTTGGTTGTGCTGATTCAAAGAATTATGCAGACCTCCACAGCATGTTAACAGTTTTGGCAGTGAACATAGAAAGTAAGGCTAGCACAGGAGTAGTGCAGAATTTGTGATTAATCTGTAAGATTGTCCAGTGTGTGCATGTGAGGTTCTTCCTCCATCTGAACAAATATTTAGGTGGTGTTGACATTTAAAATATTTAATGCATACCACTTCTGTTGATTTCCCTGTGAAAGTAAGAGAGAGCCACCAGTGAGCTCTTCCACTCAGTGTTAAGCCAAACTGGTGCTGCTTCATATCAGGGTACATAAGCGCCAGGATTGATTTTAACAGTGTGCTTTTCATCCCTGTCACTTCTCAGATTGAGCTAGCTTGTAAACCCCATTGCCTGGAACAAATTAAGTAAACTCCTCCTGAATTTCTGAGACTTAACAGTGACTTAACATTAACTCTGGCTTTAGCTTTTCTGAAGCTGAGCGCTTACAAAGCTGATCTGTTATGGTTGAAGTCATCATGTGAAAAACATAAAAAGACTAGAAAAGATTGTATTTTATTCCTAATAAACCGCTTTAATGCTTGTGTGTGGTTTCTTATTACCGAGAGTGATATTTTTTAAACTATAATATTTTTTAATTTTCTTACTGTTTTTAATAATCTTTCTATTATTGATTTATTTTCTGGGAGGGCAGAACTGACCTAAAGAAGAGCTTCATGTTGTGCTGATTTAAGGGCTGCTGATATTGGCTGTAGCACAGAAGCTTTTGCCAGGATATTTAATAATGGAATGTTTGAACTTTTGAGTTTTCAAAGAAACGATTCAGTTACCTTTTAGCTGGAGAGCCTGAAATCTAATTCCTTGTTTCTGTACAAATGTTTGCTGTCTACTAAAAAGAAGTGACTGGCACATTCAGGCAAAAAAATGTTCTGAAGATCATTTTTTTGCAAAATGTTCATGAACAATAATAGTTTCAAAGTTACTTCAATTATTTTATCAAATTAAGTTAATTATTTATGCTCATAATACAGTATGTTTATCTTACAGCTCATATTTTTCTTAGTATAAGGGTAGGCTTCTTCTGCTTTTGTTCCACCTTAATTATCAACCTAATATTCTAATATGTGTCTTCAGCACCTGGGTCCATTAAGCAATTAAGGATCAATTCACCAATTAATTGGAAAGTCCTGTAATAGTATGAAATGGGAGAGCCATCTGTACATTGTATTTGGACATGGGATAAGTACTGTGCAACTACCCTGTACCTTTAAAAAGATTCTCCCAAGATAAAACCTTTTTTTTTATTCAAGACACACAATCATGGTTTTGTTTAAATGTTTGTTTTCATTAAAGTAAAAAATATTCTTTACTTTAGCTTCCCCTGCATGGGTTATGGGAGGTTCATTTGCTACTGTTTGAAAGTGGAGATTGTGCTCTTTCTGACTTAAACTCTTTCAGATTGTACAAACTGCATCTCACAGAGGGGCTCAGAGCCTTTGTTGTTGATGACTCCTGAGGTTAACTCAGACAACTTCAGCCTAATCCCCTCCCCTAGGATCTCATTAACAGTAGTTTTTAAGAGGATGTGCTCCCAGTATGTCTATATGAGATGTGTGTTGTAATAATCCCCACTCACACATCATCTTTCTTGGTAGAGGAGGCACAGACTGAAGCCCAGACAGGCCTGGCAGTTCTGCCTTTCTTTATTCCTGGTGCAGGTTAGGGTCCAATCCCACTTCAGTCGATTAGAGGACTGCAGATCCTGGTAGTGTGGTGTGTGCTTTGTTTTCTGATAATGTCCTGACACAAATCTATCTTGCTTTGTTTTTCTATGAGTTACCTGTCAACCATCCATCATCCATTTAACTGATGTCACGGTACAGCTTCCTTCCTACAGTGACTTATCACTGTATCTCTCAAAGCTTTATTTTTTTATAACTGGTAAACGGAGGTATGATTGCAGGGGAAAATTGCAAGGATGGTTATACAGCAGCACGCTTAGGAGGCTGCTTCTGAAATCAGGAAAGGAGGCTGGGAGAAAATGGACATGGGTATGATGACAGCCTTTCTCCTTTCAGAACGCCAGGTGTGTGGGACCATGGCGGGGTCGAGCACTTTGCCTTCGAACATGACGGGAATCAGTAAAGAGCTGGCTGACCTGCGGCACCTCATCCAGTTCCCCGAGGAGATCGCCAGCATTCTGACAGAGCAGGAGCAGCAGCTGTATCGCAGAGTCTTTCCCCTCGATTACCTCTGCTTCCTGACCAGAGACTTGGGCAGCCCCGAATGCCAGAAACGCCACCCCCACCTCAAAGCCTCCCTCTCTGCCCCGGCCATGTCCACGAAGAGTGGGGATCGCAACACCGTGGAGGACCTTGTCACGCGCTTCAACGAGGTGAGACCCCTGACTGCGCACCCACACCGAGCTTCCTGCCCTCTCCTCGGTTTAGGGCTTTTCTGCAGTGAGGGCTTCAGAGAGCTTTCTCTTGGTCACTCGGCAGCCATATGCAAACTGGGTCAGATTGAAAACTGTATTTCCGATCAAGCTGCAGTGGTGAAGCCATTAAGATCAGTTAATCTCCTTCTCTTACGTATGTCCTTTTACAACAGCAAGGACTGTTCATGCTGTAAATGAATCTGCGTGAACTTACTCTTGAGTGGTTTCAGAAAATGAGGCGAAAAAATAAGAGATGAAAGTCCACTAAGTAAATGATAAAACTAATGCTCACAAATCCCTGATTTCCTGTACGGTATACTGTGTCACATATAATGCTCTGATTAACCTTTGAAAAACAATGTGTTATTTATAATTGTCTGATGCATCAGTGGTGTTGTTTGTTTCTGAAATGTTTTTTTGTTCAATGAGCAAATTCATTTAAAAGGAAGTACAAACTAAAAACCCTGCCATTCTACGTAAAATATAAAGATTCCCAAAAGCTTTAGTTGCTCCATATCTCAGGGAGATAACCTTAGAAACAAAATGTTTAGTCTAGACTGAAACTCCTACAGCAGTCCTCTGTTAAAGGATATTGAACATGGAAACATTGAATGAAAGGTTTTCTCTCCATTGTTCTCTATTAGGAACTTGACTCATGGAGATTGACCTTATATTTCTGAATTATAGGTGGCATTTTTTGCTGTGTTTAGCTGTGAGTGGGAGATTAAGTTGAGGCAGGGGGATCTGTTCACAATAGCATCTTCTGCTCATGAGTCGAAGTTATGTTCAGCAGTCATCTGTTCGTGAAGTTTGCTCCCTTTCAAATTCTCCAGTCAGTTTTCAAAATAAAAACTGATTAACCTGCATATTTCTTAGTGAATGACAAGCTGACACTTGAAACTACCAGTATATATACGCCAACCACTTGAAAATGAAGGTTTCTCAAAAACTGAGTTAATTTTCATTTATATTGTATTGGTGGTGGTTTGCAACTGATTGCAGTTTATTGGGTTATATAGATTGATTAAAGCACAAAACATATTGTGAGGATCCTAGATGTCTGTTTTGTGAGAGCTGTTATATTATTATTCATTTGTGTTGCAAACCCTGTCCTGTCTGGTACCCTGTCTACTAATACATGCCTTTAATAAGATCAGAACTGTTACAAGACGTTATTCTGGAAATTGCAATCAGGCAGAGAAATCACAAAGGCCCTGTTATTAAATGCTAGATTGTGCCCTTCTCAAACCCAAGCTGCTGCATTTCACAGCATCTTGAGGCCCATCCCTTCATCTTAATTAGCATTTCTTTTGATTGCAGCCTGTCCCAACCATCTCTTTGTGTTCTGCAATTCTGCTGAGAATCACATCAACACAATTTACTAATCAAGTCTTTATGACTTTGAGCTCTCAGAGACGACGGCACTTGTTTTCAATGAAACTGATTGAAATGACCTTTTACCATAAGGAAATTTTTATTGCAATGCTATTATCAGCAGCTCCCACGCACTGCAATGGTGTTTCAACACTTCCCTTCCCAGTGTAATTCAGGGAGGGTAATACAGTATATGAACTACTGTTGATAGTGGGGGCTTGTTAATTATCCTGAGTGAACTGTCTGACAGTACTGATGTTCTGACTTCTCACAGAACTTCACATTATTGAAGGTTTTGTGGGATTATCCCTTGCTAATACACCCAAGGATTAAACAGCAGGTTTTCTTCCTTATCTTCAGCCACTATATTGTTAAAATCATACTTTCATCAGACTTACATGGCCTCATGTTGATCCTCTGGCTGCTTTTACACAGTCTTTCATAATGTGTCAAAATCATGTGATGAGTAATCTTACTGTCTAAGCCAGAACCCCAGAAAAAAACACATGAAAAGCACACTGAAAAAACTACCGGCTTCAGGTTGAAGAAACTTCATTTTTTTAAGATGACTAAACATAAGATATGCCCAGGACTCCGTTGGAAAACTGTTTTGCTAATGGTACTGTATTCTGGTATTTTGATTTTATGCTGTTAAACAAGTTGGCTGATATTCTGCAGAAAAAAATTAGCAACTTCACCTTATTTGGCAATGCAGAAAATCAGGTCAGACAGCTGACTTCCCAAAAGCAGTACTGGACCAGGAAACACCTAAAATGTCTAGAAAAATCTTCTTGGAGGTCATAGATTTTTGATCTGTTTCATAGCTAAAACGGAAACAGGTGCCTCTAGCAATAGAATTTCAATAACACAGATTGCATTGGTTCATGAAACCCACCAATTATAAGTCCACTTTGCTTAAACTGGAAAGTCTGGGAGACTGGCCATTCAAAGAGAGTTACGGTATTAAATACAGCTAAGGCATTTATTTTCTCTGGGTAGCATTCATAGCAGGAAAAGAATGCACAATGACTGTTCTCATGCTGGGCTAGACAGTAAATAGTCACAGTAAAGTAGGCTGTGCTCCATGCACTAGGACCTACACCAGAACTGCTAACCATAAGTATTGTAGTGATGTCTGGTGAGTGAAATGCACATCCAGTTTAACGCTTCTTTATTTCTGTTATACCTGCCTACTGCGATCATGCTGGACATGTGAAAACTCTTAATTCACACCATCATTGAGTCTCCTGAAGATTTCAATTGAGCTGATCAAAGTCAAGCTGTGTTTTGGCATTAAGAATTTCCAACGCTGCAGGGATTCACTACCTCGGCTGTTAGTGTGATATTTCCTAACCTTGTTTGTGTCATTGTGCCTCCTGGTTTTTGTGTTTTCTTTTCCACTGGGCATCTGGTTCTTCAAAGTGAGGGTAGCAGCTGTCTGCAGTGGATCTGGCCTTTGATGTGCGTTTGAATTGAGGCATAAATGAAACCCCTCAGAAAAGAATCTGACTGAAATGCAGCCTGCTATTCAGTCAGGGTTACTGAAAATGCACTTGTCCACTCAAGTTCTGGACATGAAAAAATGCTGCTTACTTGTTGGTAAAAAGTACTGCAAGTCATTCAGAACTTTGACTGTGACCTAGTGGCAGTGATGATAATCTGTCATCTTAAAAACCATTGTAGATGTTCATGTGAGCTGAATGTGTTGGCTGGAATTAACCTTGTTCTTTAGCGCACAAATCATTGTGCCAAAATAGATGACTTTGGGGAGAGAATAAATTAATGGCGAGACCTTATCTAAATGGGGTTGGTTAGCAAATCGCCTACCTGTGCCTGAATAAGATCTGGTCTGTGAAAAGTCTTGACTGTGAAGACCTCTTTTTGTCTGATGCCTTGAAGGGAATGCACTTAGAAGTATACTTTTTTGGACAGTAATATTTAGGGGTAGAACGACGGCGCACTGGTTAGCATTGCTGCCTCACACATTGTGGCTCTGGGTTTAATTCCAGTCGTTTGTAAGTGGATGGATAATATTAAATGGTCTTTTTTTGTCCTAGGTTGTGGTTACTCAAAATCTGATTATACGTTCTCACATGTTTTCATTAGCAGCTTTCAAAATTAACAATGTAATCCCTTCCAAAACAAAAATGTTGTCAGATGTCAGGAAGAGCCATTTGATCACTTCCAAGAAAGTGATACAGAGGGAAAAGCTACAGTATAAGGGCACAGGATCTGGACTCTGTACAGCACTTTGACTTTGTACTGTACAGCACATAGCATTTATTTATGTTATGAGATCATGAGGATTAAACCTCTCATACAGCACTACAACAACTCTACTACTAAAAATAACTGCATTGATTATGTTTTTGTCATCTTTTTTCTTCAAAACATTATTATCAACCTGCTATGTAAAAAGAAACCTGCTATGTAAAAAGCATAGTGAAATAATATAATATAAAGTGTTTATCTAACTGCTAATGTATGCCTACAGACAGAAAAACTCAAATGATGCCTGGTATGCGATCTTTCTAAAAGGATAAATACCCTGGTTATTTTTTAGAAACTTGTGCTGCTGACTGCTGAGTTGATTCAGTTCCACTTGGCAGTGCTTGACAAGAACATCAACTATACAGAGAAACAATCTCAAACTCGATATTGCTGCCATAATTATTATTGTCATTATTGTTATAATATATATATAAGGCGATGGTTGACCTCTAATATGGAGGAACTGTGTTCAGTAGTTTATTCAGCTTACTGTTTGAAAAGCTGACAGGCTGCTGTTCTGCTCTTTTTTCTGTACTGTGTACAGACACAAAATTATGAGGATGAATGCATTTTGGTTGCTGGTAATTTTGGCCTTTGTTACTTCATCTGCTTTGAAAAGTGATTAAAATTTAAAGAGCTATAAAAATCCTATTATTTTTTATTATATATCTATCTATACTAATGCTGACATTCTTCAACCCTTCAGTGGGCAGTGGCCTTGAATGCTTTGTAAATCTTTGTATCAGTATTGTACAGTCCAGAGTAAACGTGATCAGTTCTGAAGAGCTCCTGGGAAGCTTGTGCCAGGATATGGAAGCCTTATTGCATTATTATATCAAAGCATCAAACAGCACACGTTGTACCCTGCAGGACCACATGACCTACACTTCTCTTGTTCCTATTAATACTTTTGGCTTTTGTAGGAGGAACAGGCTTTTCCCATGCTGGCTGTCCTACTATTTGTTGATTAATATGAGCTCTGCTCACAACTCTAGGACTTATATGTACGCAAACTGGTTGCATTGGCTGTTCGTATAGTTTGGTTTCTGTTTTTTGCCTAAGTGGGCATTCACTTAAAAAGCAGATGTTAAAAAATGAAGCCTTTTCAATCATTGGGTTGTGAATACAACCCATTACTTATCATCCAACTCTTATCTTTTCCTTATTTTTAAGGTTGAGTTTGTGAGATACAGATGTGAGTTCTGAGTCACAATCTCTCTGAAGGAAACTTTGGATTATTCTATGATAACAGAAACCCACCCCACTGAATTTAATAAGTTGCAAGTGTTGGAGGAAGGTGTAGCTTTCCAGGTTTCGTCATGTGTCTTCTGATGAGAAGGAATAGAGACCTTTGACTGCCAGATCTTATTAGTTAATTATTGTATATAATTGAATTACAACGTGTGAGCGGGCAGGGGTAGCAGGGAATGAACCTTGTTGAGTGTTAATGGCACAGATGTTTCCATGCTGTCAAAATCTGAAATGATCCAAGTTAAGGCAGTAACTGGCTGGATTGACACAAAGCCCCAATTATACATTTTACTACAATGTAGTGCTTTTATATTGTGTGTCTTACATCTGTTTTGTGATATTCAAGCTGAGACACAAATAATGAAATACTACTTATATTTCAAAGGCTAAAATGAATAAACCATTATATAAGCATTGTATGAACAGCAGGGATGGCATTTGAATATGCCATTTTGGGTTAACAAAATTGTAATTTTTTGAAGCAGTATCATAGTTTTAGAAAGGCATAATTTTAACATAAAGTAGTTATTTGTATATGTGGTTTTTCCTTTGCTTCAAATGAGAATAGAACATGAGAAACCTTTTGTAGTGTAAATTGCTTGCATGGGTCCGTGCTGTAACTACAGTATAAGGCAGAAATTCTGGAAGATTATGTAGTCTTGTTTTTACAGTCCTCTGTCTCTGCATTGTGTGCTTTGAATTTTATTCCTGGATATACATCTGCTTTAGACTGTAGTCAGTGTATCAAAATGTCATGTAATATTAAATAGCTGGGAATATCTAAAATATATTCCTTTTATAAATAATATAAAAGAAGTGGGGCCAAATTGTCTTTGCTGTGTGTTTTGCCTTGAGAAACACTGAGTTCTGAGCACCTTTGCATGAATTCCTTGCATTTTCGGTTGTCTTTTACATGTTCTCATGCAGAAATAAGAAATATTATAAATATGTCTGATTTTTTTTTGCTTTTTTTAGACTTTCCAAGCTTCCTCTAGGGTAACGTTTGTCCTCTTGCATAACCCTGTAAGTTGATATCTGGGAAGTATTTTTTTTTCGGGGAAGAGTCCTGCTGACATTTGCCTCTGCTTGTAACCCTACACTGGCGGGCAAAGCTGAAAGGATGCCAGAGATTTGCCATGAATCTCACTTCACTACTCTCCCTGGGTATTCAGTGTACAGTAACTGTTTCTATAACCACATTAATTCTGCGTGTTTTGCTAGAGTGAAACACTGAAGAACTTCTGAAGATGACTAGTTGATTCTTTATTGTTTATTATAAAGCACCAGAAATGGTGTATACAGTTGTCTGTCCTCTGACATTAAATTCCATTATTATTGATTAAGGGTAATGAACAGAAAACAGAGTGTCTGCTCAGTTGGTAGACAGAAATAACTACATTTTTTTCAATTGTTCCAAAATTTATAAAATGTTTTTCTAGATGTTATCCTACTCAGAACTGGGCTATTACAGTATATAACAGATTTTCCATCAAGGAAGTAGTCAGATTTTTGCACTCCTCGGGGTTCTGATGATAAGGCATAAAAGTTTATATTAAGGAAACTGAAAAAGACGTTTGTTCTGGTCGTACAAGATTTGACTAAATATATTAGAATAATCAGGCCTTAGATGTAGATGTACTGTATTAAATTGGGATTTTGATGCTGTATTTGCTTTTAGTAAATAATCTTTGTAATATTTGTTAAGGTTCTGTGACGTGGAAGATGAATTCTAGTTTAGGAAAATGTTTTCTTTATCAAATCTAGCAATTGGCATTGCTCCTCACTTCCGAAAGATGTCTGAGAGGCTCATGATGGTCAGAGCTCTCACATGAGAAAACAGCAAAGGGCACTGACCCTCTGACCTCTGCACTTGTGCTGGACCAGATACAACGTCTTTCCATTTGATTCTGCTTTAATTTCTTTTCATTTTTGAAAAAAAAATGTGTTTACTTAATTTCTAAATTCTAAAACATAGCCTGCAGAAATGTCCATGTAAAATGTAACATTTGTTATATATTAGGTTTCTATGAGAAATGCAGCCTTTTGTTATCAAAAAGCTTGGGAAAGCAAAGTTATTAAAAGGAAATTAAAAAACTAGTTTCACCTCACCATTTCTTAAGGCAGTGCCATTTGGGCTAATCAAATATGAATGGAGTTTTTCTTACAAAGTTACTTCACAGTACATTTAGAAATAATAGTGCACATCTGTGAAATCTTTATTGAGCAGTTTTCTGGACAGCATCCTACATTATTTGTTAGATCATTTACATGGCTGGGGTGTAAGATGTATTAATGCATAAAAATCATTGTACGCTGAAAGAAATGCACTGTAATAAATTGATTTTGATACTTTGCAAAGTTTCATTCCAGGATTTGATGAGGAATTAACCGCTTTGAGATATACTTTGTAGATGGAAATGGGACTGTCTCAGACCAACTGTGCTGAAAGCTATATCTTAGCTGGCTTGGGGGGATTGTAGGATTTTGCAGGGCTCTTTAAGGTCACCCCACTGTGCTAAACCCCGATGTGCTGTTTTGCTTACAGGTGAGTTCATGGGTAACCTGGCTGATCCTGACTGCAGGTTCCATGGAGGAGAAACGGGAGGTCTTCTCCTATCTCGTCCACGTGGCCAAGTGCTGCTGGAACATGGGCAATTACAATGCGGTGATGGAATTCCTGGCAGGCCTGAGGTATGCTGCATTCCTTTCCTTAATTTTACACAGAACAGTAGGTTCCGGAACAGATTCAATTGCAACATCCTATATTAATAGTGGGCTTCTTTGATCCACTGCAGCTCTTGGCACGTGTACAGTCAAGGCTTAATGGAATATCTTATGGAAGTCACAACAGCTTGACTTGTGGATCTGTGGTAGTTATGCAGGGGAGGTGAGGTTAAAGGAAACTATAAACCCCTTTCATGTTTCCAACAGTACAGCAAATCCTGCTTTCGAATTGATTCACACAACTGTTTCAAAAGTGTAACCCTCACTTTATTTATGCTACTTGGGTGTTATTTGGGTAGCAGTAAAAGAAAGCAGCTTAAAGTTTGGCCTGGTATGTGTATGATATTTTGGTTCACCCTTATCGTTTTGCACGTAACATAATATAATGTCAATTTATTGCTCTTCTGCTGTATTCAGAGCTGCAAAATAGTTTAGTCTCCTACACTACAGGTCTGAGTGCTGGCTTTGAGACCATAGGATGTGAGTGTTGTTTCCTACAATTCCCTGCAAGGTCTCGGAAGGTGCTGAAGATGTGGCAGTTCATGGACCAGTCCGACATCGAGACCATGCGAAGTCTGAAGGACGCCATGGCACAGCACGAGTCCTCCTCCGAGTACAGGAAGGTCGTCACCCGAGCCCTCAACATTCCTGGCTGCAAAGTAGTGCCCTTCTGCGGCGTCTTTCTGAAGGAGCTCTGCGATGCTCTGGACGGAGCCTCCAGCCTCATCCACTTCCGCCCTCGCTTCAGCTCGCAAGAGGAGTCCATTGAGGTACGAAAGTCCCGAATCGTGCGTTTCCTCTTGTGGGCGGACATCTTTCCTTTCCCCGTAACTGCCTGAGCTGAGCAAAGTGCTTGTGTCCGCAGTTTGTCGCAGATTACAACGGGCAGGACCACTTCCTGCTGCGGGCCGGGAAGGAGGGCCTGAACAACTCGGAAAAAGAGGCCACCGTCAGCAACATCTTGCAAACCATTCGCTCCTGCAACCGTAGCCTGGAGTCCGAGGAGAGCGAAGATGGCATCACCGAGGGCACGGCCTCACGGCAGAACTCCTTCAAGGACCGGAACAAATACCAGTAGGTCACCTACAGCTCGAGATAGAACAGGAAGTCCATACCCAATCCATACTGCTTTATGTTCGTGTGCACAAAGGCAGTCCAAGGTGACAAATCTAGTTAAACCGTATTTTGGTTAAGAAGACTTTGCTTTTTTCCAATATATTTATATATTTCATTATATTTTTATATATTTATTGATTAAATCTATCATTTGTGTTTGGATTGTACGGTAGCATCTTTAAATTTAGTCATACCATAAGGGTATGTGTATGATCATTTGCGATCATGAACACTCTCCTACAAAAAATATAAAAATATAAGTAATGTGTAGAATATGCTTCTTTTAAACTGAACTAGTATTTGGTTATCAATTGCCATATTCCACATATTCCACGCCCTGTAAGAGGCCCTAAATTGCTTATTAGAGGCAATATTGATACACCCTTGTATTTCATCTAAGGCGCTACTTTAGATATGCACACATATAAAGTACTGAATGGTCTAATTCCAGATTAAGTGTTTACTGCATGAATATAATTCAGATCATAATCTGGAGAATTAATGTTTTAATGTCATCTTGAAAGCCTACCTTCTTACTAAAAGTTTAAATTTTGTGTCATTCTGTTTTCTGTAAATCTTAGTTTCACTAAGTCAGTTTACAGCACTTTTGTTTCCTTCACTTATTTTTGCTTCTGCGGTATATTGTGTGTTGTCTGTTGTACAATGCTTTGCATTTCAATTTCTTGAATAAATATAATTGTATTATTTTATTATTATAGGGTGCTATGATGACCATTACATAGTTTATTGCAGCAAGATTCTTTTCTCATGTCGAACTTCACTTTCCATCTCATGGGTTGACCTTGGGAAGTCACTACCTTGCTCTTTGGAATGGCAATTTAACCTAACAAATGGATCCATGCCTCAAACCCTCATAAAGAACTTGACTTACTGCCACCTGTAGAAACTGCACTTTCCTGAGAGACATTGCACTCAAGCACAATTCACCTTAAACCGGGTTTAAGGTCATTATATAAATGTGGGTGTGTATCTCAAAATACGAAGGCCTGTTTTAATCTGGACCACCTCAGTGTATGGTTTCAACAGTATCTTGGTTAGTGCTTTCTGGGACACTTTCTCTTGTTGCACGGTGACATGTCTTATTGAGTGTCGCAAATTAAAATAAAAAAAAATACTTAAGAAACTGTATTTTATGGAAAAGCGAAATGATGAATTGTGCATCATGTTGTGGTTGATTTGAAAATGGTGAAATGAATGAGAAAATTATTAAGAGTGTTCATATGAGTCACTCATAGCTATGGCACTCTACACTATCAAACACTGTAGTGTGCTTGATGAGATTATAGCCTCTGCTTTGTGTTGTATCCTGTTGCCTATATTCTTACATAATGTGTAAATACAATTACTGACATATCTATTGCAGAGCTGACAGGAAAGAACATTTTTACACAAATTAGTATAGGTCTCATACCTGGTTGACTTTTTTATGTTCACATTCAGAAACTGATCTTCTGTTGTTTGGTAATATCACCATGATGTTAAGCATAAATTTGTTTCCCTCAGAAGAATCTGCTTTCTTGTAGGCTGAGGATCTGTTTATCCTCAATGGTTAGATACACACTCAGAGAAACGTGTTGGTATTTGATAGTGATGCCTATCATGTGTGTTCTGTATTCTCTCAGCATTTCCAGATCACTGTTCTACTGTATGTTGCACGAGTCTAATGTGTTTTTGACTAAATGCTTTGGAGAAAACATACCTCCTCAGCATCATGCAGAAAGCCTTAAATCTTTCTGCCCCACGTCATGTTCATGTTTTGTCTTCCTTTTCCTCAGTTTTTCTTTCCATATTTTCTCCTATTGATTTCCATCCTTTTCCTTTCCGTTCCTTCATCTTAGCTCAGCCCCTGTCAGGAAAACGTCTGATTCGAACCGTGTCTTGTAAGTTTCTCGGCTTCTTTGTCTCTTTCCCCTAACTTCGTGGTTAGGATTTAATTAGAGAACAATTTTTATTTAACATTTGAAAGGTCTTTGCATGCTGATCAGCTCCACTAGGATATTTTTATGTGTAATCAAACAATGTATATAAGTGTGTGCATTGGAAGGTGTACTGCTTTCTGAAGGTTAATTTGAACAGCTTGTGAGTGCCCAGGTTGAAATTAAACCTACATAGAATTTCTTCCTCACTGCTACCTATGTAAGTAAAATTAGCAATAATAAGCATACATATACTTTATATATATATTAATATAATCCATTTCCAAACTGAATCAATGTATTTCCGAACCACAGATTCAAATTCCTTGTGTTTTCTGAAAAGGTCTTTGGGATTTTCTCCAGATATTCATAAGTATGAGAAATCAATATAAAGAGCTATTTTTTCTAGGCGTCTGTAAATTTGCATACAGTATTTAATCCAAATGGAAAATGCAATATTCCACATACTATATTGTCTTAAATTCTACATCTTAATTTTAACATCAACTCATGTAATATATAATATATATGATAGATAACACAGTGCATTAACATTAAAGACCTCATGTGTGTAATGTAGCAATGGGTCTTCAAATGTCTTTTTATTTCATCTGTACAAACATTTGAGTTTTTTTTTCATTCAGTTGAAACTACAGGCTCTTCCTTCATTAAGACAGTGAAGGAAACATTTATAAAACATTTCTGTATTCCCATTGATAACAATAGAAAATAGCATGACCTTTATTCATTATTCTTTATTTCTCAAACCAAGGTCAGGATAAATTATTTAAAGGTCATGTCATACAAACACATTACAAGTGATAAAAATTACCAGAAAGTGTCACTGCAACCAAAAGAAGTTGATCCTGAGCAAGCAAGAGGAAACCATTATTCTGATTTAGCCATTTCTTGAAATCTGGGGGAATACCACGATCGGCAGCATGCTTGTTCTAGACACTTACTACCCTGTGTAAAAAAGATGCACAGACTTATCATATCAGTATTCCTTTGAACACCATATAAGAGCCACATCCGAACGCCCATTTTGTTTGCAAAGATAAACGGTTCTGTAAATAAAATGGAAAATATAGTATGAAGTACAGTATGAAGTAGACAAGAAGGCACCTGTCATGCTTTGCTTAAGATAATCAGTGTGCTTTTGAAACTCCGAACACTCAAACTTGCTACAAAAGATACAGGCAACCGTCTCATGCAATATTACGAAACTAATTAGTAAGATCAAATAAGGGACAATGTAGCAGATTAATAATAGCAGAATAGACTCTTAAAGCAATAGAAATGTAAATTCTAACATATATTTGTCATTAAACTTATTTCAAGACGGTTAACTTCCAGATGTCTGTAATTATACAGCAGCAATTCTGCAAGCACGGGAAAAGCACAGTCCCACAGGGCTTTGCTCTTTGTTGCCCTGTCTGGCTCCTAACAAAAATTTCAAGTGGTTTGTCAGTGGAGCTGAACCTTCTTCTTGTGCCATGACAGGAGGAGCAAAGAGAAGTGAGCATTTGTTGTTTAACAATCCAAGCCGACAAAATCCAGTTGGAAGACTTGATCAATCTTCTCTCTCCTGATAACAACCTTAACTGTCTTGGTCACGTTGATTGTACCCACAGTACACTACTGTCAGAAAAAAAATTCTCCCCGTGTTTATTACTATAATATGCTACTACAAACACAATTGATTAAATCGACATTGATAAAATCTTCATGTCACACACACATGAATCATTCAGAAATGGAATAAGACAAACTGACCAAACTGCACTGTTGCTACCAGTAGCTGAGCATTTGGTAATTTCTCTGCCAATTAAAGCCATTCACTCTCATCAGATTTACTTCAGGAATCATTTTCAGTGTGTGTTAAAGGGTTTCGTTGAAAAGTTTCCTTCTGTCGCGACAACGCAGCTATTATCAGTAGACCCTGTTTAAGAGTCTTGGAAAAAGCTCGATCAGTGCAAATCAAACATCCTTTACTGCCTAGGTCTCAGCAGTTGACATTTTATGAATAATCCCTGTAGCGGGTTTATAGCAGAAAAAAAGTATGCTACGGTGTTTAAAGGGGAAAAATTTAACAGCGTTGGTAGAATTCATGCATGGGACACAGGTCACTAAGTGAAGAAGGGAAAAGTATTGTGAGATTTTAGCTTTCTTGCTTCTGTTCCTGTGACTTTGGTGATTAATTTTTATCCTCCGCCTGTTGCCCAGATTCATCGTGGGAGACCTGTCAGACTCCGAGGGAGACCTGTTGGAGTCCCCCAGGGATGTGGATACGCAGGGAGCTGAAGAGCAGCAGAGGGCCTTCGGCCATGGCACGGAGCTCATCCCCTGGTACGTCCTATCCATCAGGGCTGATGTTCATCAGTTTCTGCTCCAAGGGGCCACCGTTATTCATTACGACCAGGAAGCCCACCTCTCTGCCCGCTGCTTCTTGAAACTGCAGCCTGACAACTGTTTCTTAACCTGGTCAAAGCCCCAGAGCTGCTGCCCGTCGAATGGCAAAACCACTGAGTTTTCTTACTGCAGACCTCAGTATTTTGGACAGATAGTGCTGAACGGACTAGCCGACGGGTTCCTGGACTTGTCAATGGCCAAGGCTGTTTTCATGGGCCACCCTGGAATCGACACCCACGCTGTCTGTGTGCAGAACAAGCTGTGTGGCATGACCCTGGAAGAGAATGGAGTGACCCTGCTGTACGGACTTCACACTACTGATAACAAGCTCTTGCACTTTGTGGCCCCGAAATATACTGCCAGGATGCTGTACGACGGACTGCAGGCGCTGGTCAGTGCAGTGAGGAAAATGAAGAAGTTTCCGGACCAGCGACTGCAGTGGCTGAGGAAGCAGTATATCAGCCTCTATCAGGTATGGTAATGCGCTGACATCATGTGGAAAGGCAGAGGAAGCCATTCAGCCTATTTTGCCTGTTTGGTAGTTAGTAGATAATTTATCTAAGGATCTTATCCTGCTGTTTGTCGACGAACACCAGGGTATGGTATTGGCTTCAACAACATGGGTACTTTGTTCAATACCCCCACAACCCTTTGGGTTAAGAAGTGCCTCCTGTTTTCAGTTTTAAATGCATAAAATCATTAAAATATCACTTCTGTGTAGTTTCCACTTGTGCCCTCGGCTTTGTGTGTCTCTGTTCGTTCACTCCTCTCCAGTAGGGTCATCATTGCTTATATACCTCATGTACACATGTATTGAGTGAAGTGTATGCTAGTGTTGATGGGAGTGATGTTTGTATGCACTGCAAAGGGCTTTTTTCTGAAGTACTCAACATCTTTTTTTTTCTACTTGGACCCAATAAGTACAGTAGTGGCATGGAAGCTCTGTGCTTTATAGTTCCATTTTGTAGAACTAGAACTTCCTATACGATTGGTTGACCATTCTCAATTCTAATGGTCAGTCATATTGGAGGATGCAAACAAAGTTTGTGAATTCCATTCCTCAGCCCCAGGGGTTCTAATCATTTTGCCTCATGCAGATCTGTTCAGAGGCTCATTTTGCTGAGGCTGTGTTTTGCAGGAAGATGGCAAGTACGAGGGTCCCACCCTGGCCCAGGCCATAGAGCTGTTTGGAGGCCGACGGTGGAACGTGGGAAGCACGAGCACTGGCACCCTGAGCAGGACCACCGAGAAGCCCAGCACCCAGAAAAACAGCGCGCTGGCCATCAATACCACCAAGAAGAAGAAAAAATCCTTGATGAGGGTAAGAGCAGTGCTCCCTTAAAATATCACATAAGTTATCGCATTATTGATGATAGTTTTTTTTACCTTTTCTTTTTGTACCCAGTATGAAATAAAACATAACTAATGTATCTTGGCTCACAACGATGACTACAGCACTAGACTGGGAGAATGAGGAATAGCACAGAATAGAATAATGGTTTATTTCTCTCTGATACCACGGTAAACCTGTAGATGTCTGGGAAGTTGCAGTAGTTGATGTTTCACTCAGAGAGCCCTGACGGTTTGCAGGATCTGGGCCCAGGAGAGGACTGCTATGTGGAGTTTCCCAGTCTGTCGCCTTCAAACTAAGTAACTTGTATTTCTAGGTCCCAGTGGCAGATCAGCCTTACTGACTGACTCAGGCCAATGATAACCAATGTTATTTATTAATTATTATAATTTAACTACTTTTAACCCTCTCTTCCTGTGAGAATAAGTCGGTAAAGGTGTATTGTGAATTGTGAATCTGTATGTTTTTGGGATGTTGGTACTGGGCGTCTCTGGATGTGGGTAAATTAATATTTGGTGTGGCGTGTTTCAGGGGGACAGTGGGGATGCCACTGATGATGAAATGGCATCTCGTAAAACAAGGAGCTGTAAGGAATCACGCGGCAGGAGTGGCTCTGACCCACCAGACACTGGAGAGCCAGACGAACCAGGTATGAAAACCTCTTAGACCTGACTGTCTTTTTGCATTTGTGCGAGGCTGTGGGTTCAAATCCCATGTGGGCCACAGCGGTTGTATTCTTGAGCTAGGTTATAGTCTTTATCCAGCTTGCTCTCGTAGAACAAACAGCTGTATAAGTGGGTGCAAGTGCACATGCCTTGCATGAAAGGTTCAGCCAATGAAATTTAGTGCACTTCTAGGAAAGTGAAGCTGTATTTTGATTCAGTCTTTGAAAAAGCACTTTTTTCCTCTCTTTTGTTAAATTGAAAAGAAGCTGACAAATTCATGATGCAAATTTACATTACTGAAATACTAATACTTAGTTGTCATTTCCTGGTTATCAGTATTTATAATATGCAGAAATAAGCATAAATTGCCCAACAGTCTCGAGCAACATTTTAATGTTTTACAATCCAAAACGTTTTTGATGTTTAGTTTACTATAAAATTATATACAAGCAAGAGGAGAATATATATTTTATGTTTCTGTTATAATTCCTTTGACACGGAGCAATGACATTGGCTGTTTTTTGCTTTGTTTGTATCCTTCAGAGGAGAGCGGTGCCCTGGGAATCTCCGGACCCCAGGCTCTGTCTTCCAATAAAACTCTCTTCCTCTGTGCTGCCAGCCCCCCCGGCACAGTGACCTCCCCCCCTGCCCGGCCGCACTCCTCTCCCGTGTTATCCTCTGCCAGTAAGGGCCAGACAGGGTGAGTCACACACCCCACAGGCCCTTCAGATCTGCTTGTCCATTTCCAGCAACTTTGATGGCTCCTCTTATTTGAATATTTTAGAATCTGTTACCAGCATGGCTATATAATCCTATATATAGTCCTTCGTGTCTTATTGTTTTCCCCCCACGCCAGCTGTTTGATTGATTGAGAAGCTCACCAGTGTGTCTCATTGCTTCCCTAGGAGGATGAACACCTTACACATTTCTTTTTTGGAAGTGGAAGGAAACCACTTTTCGCAAAGCCTCCCATTCATATTTCTATTTTTGTCCAAATGGGCCTCATCTCACTCAGGAGCAGCATGCATGTTTTGCTACTTCAGGTGGAAAAGGTGGAACTGGGGAGGAATAGGTACATCAAGATTTGGGCGTTAGGACCTTTATTTGCAAGGTGCTGTGCATGCTGTCTCACTAGGTTTCTGACGGACAAAGATAACTTTGCTTCCTTCAGACCCCCGAGCGGTTGGCGGTGTCGGCTCTGACCGGCTTCTCTCTCCTTCTCTCCTGCCCGTCCAGCACCTGGAGCAGTCGCAGCTGGCATGGCCCTGCCAAGGGCAGCTTGAAGGGCTTCCAGAACTTCATGATCTCAGACAGTATCATGAGCTTCACAGAATTTGTGGAGCTTTTTAAGTCTTTCAGGTAATCTACCGAATACTGCCATTTTGGTTTTTGCTTCCCCTCAATGACATTTCAAAATTCTGTTCCCGCTAAACCTTTTCCATTTTTTTTTCTACAATGTACTGTGTGAAGGATTTTTATTGTGTTTTTCCTTTAAAACACCAGGGAAGAGCAGTTGAATGGCAGGGTCTGTGAAGGCTGGTGTCTGAAGTATTTCTGTATAGATTAAAGAGAACACTGCTTGTTTCGTAATTTCAGTGTATTCAGAACTATATGTGTTCATTCACAATAACAACATTTAGAAATTACTGTATATATAACCTTTTCAAAAGTAAGGTTTGGGAACATAATGCAGGCAGTTTAAGGAAAATATAATCTGGAGGAAAAACCAAGCTTCAGAACTGGGTTCTTCGTCACTGGATGGCATTCAGATAATAATAATAAGTTGTATTGATAGTGAATGTGGATTACAGTCATTGAAGCAAAGAAGGGACGTAATGTGATTTTCTAAATTCTACATTTACTTTTTTTTAGCATTCGAAGTCGGAAGGACCTGAAGGAGCTTTTTGATATCTACGCTGTGCCATGTAGTCGCTCAAGCACTGATACAGCTCCGCTGTATACCAGCCTGAAAATTGATGACAACATCACTGGCCTACAACCAGACCTTGGTTTGTTCCTTTTAATGTTCCTTTAAACATTAAATGGCCTCCTTTCATTTGTAGATGTCGGCCCATCTAGCCTGTTTGGCAGTTAGTAGTTAATTAAAGGGCTTCGTCCAGCCATTTTGTGAAAGAAACCAGGGAATTGGCTTCAGCAGTAAGGCTGGGCAGCTTCTTGTGTACTCCCACAAACCCTTGGGATAAAGAAGTTCCTCCTATTCTTTGTTTTAAATAGACTTTCACATCATTTCTACTTCTGATTCATGTTCTACTGTTCATTTTAAAGAAATCTGCTGGGTTGACTTTGCCAGCTCCTTTGAGGATTTTTAATACTCAGGAGATCCTTCTTACTCTTCCTTTTTCAAGGCTAAAAAGGTTCAGTTTCTTTACTCTGTTGTTTAGGACAGTTCCTTAAGTCCTAAATATACATTGCAGTCCGTAATAGGACCATATAGGAATCGCAGCCCTTTTTATACATAGTCCTCCCAGTTTAGGAGACCAAAAGTAATTGGACAATTGGCTGCTGAGTTGTTTCTTGGCACGCTGTGTGTTGTTGCATCGATAGTTCATGCACAAGAGAGCTAACAAAAGGTCTAGAGTTGATTCTAGATGTGGCATTTCCATCTGGAGTCTGTTGCTGTTGTCTCTCAACATGAGGACTAAAGAAGTGTTAATGCCATTAAAGTGGGCCATCAGGAGGCTGAAAAATCAGAATAAATCTATCAGAGACATAGCCAAAACATTAGGCAAAAATCAACTGTTTGGTACATTGTTAAGAAGCACGAATGCACTGGTGAGCTTAGCAATAGCAAACGACCTGGTAGACCACAGAAGACCACAGTAGTGGATGACCGAAGAATACTATTGTGAAGAAAAAACCCTTTTCGACTGTTGAACAGATCAGGAATGCTCTCCAGGATGTAGGCATAGATGTGTCAAAGACTACCGTAAAGAGAAGGATACACCAGAATAATCTCAGAGGGTTCACCACAAGATGCAAACCACTGGTAAGAAAGGCCACAGAAAGGCCAGTTTACAGTTTGCTCCAAAGTACATAAAAAAGCCTCTAGTTCTGGGACAAAGCCTTACAGATGAGATGAAGATTAACCTGTACCAGAGTGATGGAAAGAGAAAAGTACGGAGAAAAAATGGAACTGCTCGTGATCCGAAGCATACCACCTCATCTGTGAAACATGGTGAAGGTAGTGTCATGGTTTGGGCATGTATGGCTGCCAGTGGAACTGGCTCACTTGTCTTTACTGATGATGTGACTCCAGACGGCAGCAGCAGGATGAATTCTGAAGTGTACAAAAGCATCTTATCTGCTCAGATCCAACAAAATCCTTCAAAACTCATTGGACGGTGCTTCACCATTAAGCAGGACAATGACCCCACATATACTGCTAAAGCAACTATGGAGTTTTTCAGGGCCAAAAAGTGGAATGTTTTTGACTGGCCAAGTCAATCACCCGTCCTGAATCCCATTGAGCATGCATTTCACTTACTGAAGACAAGACTGAAAATAACCCCCCCCAGAAACAAGCAGGAACTGAAAACATCTGAATTACAGGCCTGGCAGAGGATCACCAGGAAAGATACCCAAAGCCTGGCGATGTCTATGGATCGCAGACCTCAGGCAGTCATCAATTGCAAAGGATTTGCAAAAATACCAAATTTTACCAAATACCAAATGTTAATGTGTCCAATTACTTTTGGTCCCATGAAATGAGGAGACTATGTATAAAAAGGGGCTGTGATTCCTACACATGGGTAGGATGGGTTACGCAATATAGACATAAATACCCTCAAATTAAATCTTACATTCTGCACTTTAACCTCATAGTCATTGTTTTATTTCAAATCCAATGTGCTGGAGAACAGAGCCAAAACAGCAGAAATTGTGTCACTGTCCAAATACAGACAGCACTATATCTGGTTGGCCTTCAGAATTCCAGGCCAGTAATATATTTTCTATAACATGGTGACCTAAATTGTACACAATATTCTAAATGAGTCTTTACTGGTGCATTTTATAATTTTAAGATAACGGCCCAGTGACAGGCCTACCTCTTTTCACGGGTCTTGTGAGGCCATGATGGAGAGGAGAATTCTGTGCACTGAGATTTACTGTTGTAAAGTGCCTCACTTTAGAGAGGGAAAAACCTGTTCTGACAACCCAGCAATAGGTGTCCCCATGAATCCCTTTATATACCAGACCTAGGCTAACTTACATCCATGTGAGATTGTGACTCTCGCTATTCACCATTTATAAATTAAATACCTCATTTACCCCATGGGAATCTACTGCATTTACAAGTGATAGACGTCCGAAGGGCCGCTAGTGGCAGGTAATCTAAAACTTATATAACACTATTGATGTTTGGCCACAATCCTTTTATTTAAATTGTTAACTATATTTGCATTGTGTCTGCCTTTTTAATTGCTTCCACACAATGTTTGGAAAATATAAATTACATGTCAGCAAATATGAACACCCAAGTTTCTTCTTCTACCTTAGCATTTCCTATTTTGTATGTATAATTTCTGTTTTTACTATCTGCATGCAAAACTCTGCACTCATCTGCACCAATCCCCATCTTACAGGTTTTTATCTCAGTTGAAATTTCATGTGTACCTTCTCCAGTGTTTGCTAATCCTCCTAATTTGGCCTCATATACAAACACAACCAGTTTGTTAACTATTCCAGAATTTATATGTTAAAGTGAATTAAAACAACCTGTCTAAATTTGAATCTAATCTTTCTGTACACCCCTGTCTATAATGACAGGGCAAACACTGCATACTGGTACACATTCGGAGAAAATAATTATGTTTAACTGTAGATTCTCATTTTCAGACTTATTGACCCGGAATGGGTCTGATCTCGGCCTCTTCATACGAACCAGGCAGCAGATGTCTGATAACCAGAAGCAGATTTCGGACGCCATTGCAGCAGCCAGTATTGTCACCAATGGCACAGGTGTGGAGAGCGCCTCTCTGGGTGTGCTTGGAATGGCCATCTTGCAGCTCAACGACTTCCTGGTAAACTGTCAGGGAGAGCATCACACCTACGATGAAATCCTCAGCATCATTCAGGTCTGTACACACTCGAGCGAAGGCCTCAGCACTAAAAATACTGAGCTATACATACAAGAGAGGAGGCCGTTCTTCTTGTATTGCTGATTGCTTTGCTTCTGTATTTTTATATCCTTCCTTAAAGCTCATGGAGCTGTTTCTTCAGAGGATCTCGTCAGTAAGCGACCGTGGTATAGACTGTCACGTATTTCCCAATGCCAGTCAATCTTTGATAACTACAGCCTAATCGTTCTTACCTTGAAAGACAGATGTGAGCGTTTGTATAGAACATGGATTGTCACAGCCAAGGTGGGGACAGAAAGTAGTTCTGTGTGTACAATTTGTTTTATTGTTTCTTTCAGAAATTTGAACCCTCTGCGAGTATGCGCCAAATGGGCTGGATGTCATTTGAGGGGTTTGCAAGGTGGGCATGACTTTTGAAATGACACTGTGTGTTAAGCAGACTTTGGTGTGCTATCCTGTGCTATCCTATAATCTGCATCTCCAGAAGATATCATACTGGGTATAACTGTCATGCTAGAAATATACGGATTATATTATAATGTCCTCGTTGAATGAAGTTCTGTGTAATTACCAAAAGTAATAATTGTAAAAGAAATATCATTGCTCACATGCATACCTTATGTATTTCTTGGCTGGAAGTGTTGTCCATTCTTAGTTCTATTTTTGTGGAAAGGAGGCTGAATCTTAATCAGGAGCAGTATGTATGTTTTTCTGTGTCAGATGAAAAGGTCAGAATGCTGAAGGAATGGATACATTAACATTTGGACATTAGGCCCTTTATTTGTAAGAAGCTGTCTGCTATGTCTCTAGGTTTTTGATGGACAAAGATAACTTTGCTTCTAAAAATGAGGAGTCCCAAGTGAACACGGAGGACCTCCAGTATCCACTGTCCTATTATTACATCGAGTCTTCACACAACACCTACCTCACGGGCCACCAGCTGAAAGGGGAGTCCTCAGTGGAGCTCTACAGTCAGGTGAGCTCAGCCTTTTACGTATGAGAGTATTTCCTGGCTGACTGCAGGATTCTCAGTCGTTGCTTTTTTGCAAACCCCCTTTCCAGTAAAAAAAAAACATTTTCAGAGTAACATTACATTGACATTTATAGACAGGTAATTCCAGTCCAAAAACTCACCCACTGTGCTACACTGACCCCATGCAAATATATAGTCCATATAAATAAAGCTACTTTTAATTATACGGTATCAAAAGCAGAACATCACACCAACAGCTAAATCAGAAGTGTTATTTGCTCTGACAACACACTGCTAGGTTTTTAGTTTTAAAGTTCACTTTTCACACTGAAACCTCCCTTCTTTGTTGATTTAAGTTTTTGTTTGCATGCTCTTTGATTCTGTAAACATATGTTTAGAATATCTGATTGGGTATTGGTTAGATATTGGGTCTGACATTCCCATTGACTTATCAGGTGCTCTTACAAGGCTGCAGGAGTGTGGAGCTGGATTGCTGGGATGGGGATGATGGCATGCCTATTATCTATCACGGCCACACTCTCACTACCAAAATCCCCTTCAAGGTAATGTCTCACAATAGTAGCTTATTGTTTAATGCCAGCGGATATACTGATGCCTGTTACAGACAATTACAAACACTTCACTGTCTAAGAAATACAGACAGTTTGTCTTCTTAAGCTAGAGAAAACACGTTCTATGCATGTATCTCCTTTGTTACGAAAGGTTTTGAATGTTAAACATTTTTATGGTTTTCTTTACAAATATTATTTTCTCAAATATTCCTTTAGGATGTTGTGGAAGCTATAAATCGCACTGCTTTTGTGAACTCGGAGATGCCTGTTATCCTGTCAATAGAAAATCACTGTTCCTTGCCTCAGCAACGCAAAATGGCAGAAATCTTTAAGGTAATTTGTCCATTTAAGATGAGTAAAGACTCTGTTTTGTAATTTTCACCTTTGTTAGTTAGGGTTAGGGTTAACCCTTTGTTGCAATGCGATGAGTGTAACACATCATGTAAAGAATTCAGTTTTTGTTCTGTTTTCATAAAGATAGAAGTAATTCAACTATGAGCAATTTATCTTTTTTTCTTTCAAGAGTGTTTTCGGAGACAAACTGGTGACAAAGTTCCTGTTTGAAAGCGATTTCTCTGATGACCCACTGCTGCCTTCTCCTTTGCAACTGAAAGGAAGGATTCTTCTAAAAAACAAAAAGCTTAAAGCACATCAAGCGCCAGTGGATATCCTTAAGCAAAAGGCAAGACATAGACATAATAAAAAGTTATATGCACATCTTAGGAAAATGACAAAACAAAACTGCAGAAATGTTATTGGTTCGCCTTGTGATGTTAGTAATACATAGATTGTTTTTGATTCATCGCTAAGTTAATGTAGTGGTCTACATGAGTTGAGCAGCAGGGTGGAGTGATGATTTGGGCTCTGCACTTCTGAGAGACCCAAGGTTCATATCTTGCTTAGGGTGCTGGTGTTGCAGCTCTCAAGCAATATATTTGACAGTAAATACAGCTCCCCTGTTTTATAAAAAGGTACTCAGGGTACCAGGCCACTGTAGGTGATAACTTGTTCTTATATGTCTTACAGGGTTAAAGGGGATGTGCAGTCCCAATTTTTTAGATTGGTATCTCAGTAACAAAATCAATTCATTGACGTCATAGACAGTTTTACAAATTCCCAATTAAGAACAAAATTGTGAACTTCGTGAAAGTACTGTAAGTACTGTAAGCCACTACGTTGTCGCAAACCCTTGGTCTTGCCACAGGCGAGAGGCGGAGTTCCCACAAATTGTGATGTGATGCAGCCCTTCCTGCTCGCTAGTCACTGTAATGACTAGTGTAATGCAATGTACAGGCTAATAAGTACAGGTTGTGCTACCGTTGTTTCACTGCATGTTCCACATGATCTGCATGCAGGGTTAACAAGTAAGCAGTATTTGTCAGCAAAAACATCTTGAAATCAAGAGCAATGTTTCTATTGGATAAAAAATTATGTATTCATAAGTCAACTTGTTTACAGTATGATAGGGCTGCACACATCACTGAAAGTTTTGTTGACTCGTTCTGAATCGCAGAATATGGCTCTACACATTTTGTCTATTTTGTGATGTAAATTAGAGGTTTTACAAATTAGTGTGTACATTTTACATTTATTGTGGTTTATATGCTGATTCATTGTAACCCCCAAAATATAAAAATAGGGTTGCAGTTCTCCTTTAAATAATGGATTCAGTAAAATAAGTAAACTAATACAACGTGAGATGACTCAGTTGTGAAAGCCGCCTTCATTGACATGTGCAAGACTTCGGAGGTTTCTGTAAATTTGGTGGCTGACTCTTTGGGCTCCTGGTTCAGGCTCATCAGCTGGCGCACATGCAGGCACAGGCAAGCACCGGCACGCCCCAGGGCAACACCCCCAGCAACAACGAAGATGAGGAGGAGGAGGAAGATGAGTATGACTACGACTACGAATCTCTGTCCGATGGTAAGGAGAAAAACTAAGCGTATGTACTTCTCATGCGCTGATGCAGAACGCATCAGTGTGGAACATCTAGCTATTGCACAAGTGTGAAGAGTCCAGTGTGAGTGAAATTATGAGTTGTCTTGTGCAACGTGCAAGAAAGTTCTTCCACACTAATGAGGTGAACAAGTAAAATGTGGCCAATATACAGTGAAGGTATTTGGACAGTGACACATTTTTTTCTGTTTTGGCTCTGTACTTCAGAACATTGGATTTGAAATTAAACAATGACTATGAGGTTAAAGTGCAGAATGTCAGCTTTAATTTGAGGGTATTTATGTCTATATTGGTTGAACCATATAGGAATCATAGCCCCTTTTATGCATATTTCTCCCATTTCATGGAACCAAAAGTAAATGGACACATTAACATAATCTTTAATAAAATTTGGCATGTTTGCAAATCCTTTGCAATTGATGACTGCCTGAGGTCTGCGACCCATAGACATCACCAGACGTTGGGTATCTTTCCTGGTGATGCTCTGCCAGGTCTGTAATTCAGCCATTTTCAGTTCTTGCTTGTTTCAGGGGGGTTTTGCTTTCAGTCTTGTCTTCAGTAAATAAAATGCATTATCATTGGGATTCAGGTCAGGTGATTAACTTGGCCAGTCAAAAACATTCCACTTTTTGGCCCTGAAAAACTTCATAGTTGCTTTAGCAGTATGTTTGGGATCATTGTCCTGCTACAAGTTGAAGTGCCGTCCAATGAGTTTTGAGGCATTTGGTTGGATCTGAGCAGATAAGATGCTTCTGTACACTTCAGAACTCATCCTGCTGCTGCCGTCTGGAGTCACATCATCAGTGAAGACAAGTGAAGCAGTTCCATTTTTTCTCCATTAAAGCTGACATTCTGCACTGTAGCCTCATAGTCATTGTTTCATTCCAAATCCAATGTGCTGGAGAACAGAGCCAAAACAACACAGAATTGTGTCACTGCCCAAATACTTACAGACTGCACTTTAATTATCTACCCTTTTCATTAGAAGTTCACAATGTATTTTGTATTGGGACTGTAAAACAGTTAATTAAATTATAATTATGCTTCATCAAGGATTTCTGCACATGTAGCTCTGTATTTTATTAATTATTTGATACTAAAACCTGACTTGTAATTAATACTATACATTTTATCAATCTGACTCAATATCATTCATTTTCCATACCTTCTTGTTAACTATCACAAGTGCAGTAGAGCACTGAAAACAGTTTAACACAGAGAGTCTAATGCAGTATTAATCCTTCATCTTGCCATCTTCATTGTACATTATAAAACATTGCTCTTTACTTCAGGGTTCACTGTATCTGTTTGTCTTCAGTTCTCTTACTCCCTGTCTGTTTTCCTGTAGCTGATGTCCTTACTGCTTCTCCTGCTTCTAATGGCCAGGAAGGTAAAAAAAGTCCCCTAAATGTTAGCCAGCTCCAGTGCATGGCCTTCATCAATGAATAACCTGTGCAGCAAAACTCCTGTTTTTCCTTTGTGCTGAACTCCATTAATATGCATTGCATGGTGTATTATGTAGTGCCAAACAGCCAGAGACATTACAACAGACTCTTTGTTGAACAGCAAGTTTATATCATCTTGTGTGGGATGATAGCCCTGTCTGAATTTTCAGCCGTTTTTATCTCTACTCCTTGGCTAATTAAAACAAAATGGCTTACAGAATTACATTAAAGTCTTTACTATGGACAGGGTGCTATGCAAATGATGGGGATTTAAAGGGGTTCATTTCATATGATTAATGTGCACTTTGCACTGTAGGTTTATTGTGGACAAATGTTTGGATGCCCTTTGTAAAGAATATTGATGTTTAATATATTTTGGAAGCTAGTCAGGGTGATTCATACATGATTCCAATGAAGAGGTTGTTTTAAAGGTAATGTCAACAGTTTTGTACCTAATGCAACAGCAGTACTGCTACACTGGTTTGTGTTTCTGGGAAGGGCAGAAGATGACACCCCCTGTGGTCCACAGAGTATGAACAACTCCTTATGATGGTATTGCCAAAATTAAAGTTATTGTGAAAATAGAAAAACAAGCAGAGTTGGAAACCTCTAAATGTTCAGATTTTACGAACACTTGAAAACTGACAGCAAGACCTTGCCATTTTATCCATTGTGCCTGAAAGTATCCTTGAGTCAAGACTGGACCTAAAAGACCACAGTCTCCACCTCCATGGCATGTTCCAGTAATCCATTCCACACATTGGTGTCTCTGTATAAAAAGCACAATTCTGGTACAATCCCTAATACAGAGAGTCTTTTCTTTAGAGATCAGTGGTTCACATAAGAACCCCATGTACAAGCTTATAAATCTGATCTACAATTTGTGAAAAGGGCTTTATATTTCTCAGTAGACCTTCTTCACCCCCAGTCATTTTTAATTGGAAAATGGAAAAATCCATAAAATATGGTGCTGAATAATCTGGGTGAAACTGTGCTTCAAACAGGACTGGGTCATAAGACCCAATGTGTTAGGAGTTATTCATAAACTTACAAAATTCCATATGGTAATATTTGTCTTAGTCTCCTATTCTGTGCTTTAAATGCATGCAGGGCATTATGATGTGTACAAGGCACCCTCATCAGTGATGTGTTTTGAAATGTTGTGACCTTGTTCGTGCCGATTGCTCATCAGAACAAAGACATCTGGTTTCTCAGGCCCTGCACTCACTCACTTAAACTGCAAGTGCATTTCACTGCTCTCTGGGGGAATACATATACTGTACAGTATGTGATGTGTTGCTTTTTAGTTATCAAAACATAAAAAAGCATAGCTTAACACATGTTTCTAAATGTGACAATTGTAGCTTGTCAAAAGCCTTTGAGTGAAAGTGCTGTACTGTACATTTAGTACTTGTTTCTTACCTTAGGTTTTACTTTTGCACAAATACTTGGTCACTGATGTGCTGGTAGAAAGAGATACAAAGTTGAAATACGTTTTTCTCCAAATTTATCCCTAAACTAGATGAACTGTAACTTATAGTTGATTGGACCTGAAGATGCAGTGTTTCCTGATACAAATTAAAAGACATTTGTTTGACATTTAGTAATGTTTGTGTAAACCTAACATCAATCACAAGTAGTTGCATTTATTTCCATGTGCATGCCAAAGCCTTACATTTATTTGCTGTTTTTAATAATAATAATAATAATAATAATAATAATAATTGCTTACACTTATATAGCGCTTTTCTGGACACTCCACTCAAAGTGCTTTACAGGTAATGGGGATCCCCTCCACCACCAGCAATGTGCAGCATCCACCTGGATGGCTACTATGAGGGCAGCCATAGCGCGCCAGAACGCTCACCACACATCAGCTATCAGTGGGGAGGAGAGCAGAGTAATGTAGCCAATTTGTAGAGGGGGATTATAAGGAGGCCATGATTGGTAAGGGCCAGGATGCCGGGGTTACACCAGGGATAAACCCAGAATCCCTGGAATTTTTAATGACCACAGAGAGTCAGGACCTCGGTTTTACGTCTTATCCGAAGGACGGTGCCTGTTTACAGTATAGTGTCCCCGTCACTATACTGGGGCATTAGGACCCACATGGACTGCAGGGTGAGCGCCCCTTACTGGCCCCACTAACACCTCTTCCAGCAATAACCTTAGTTTTTTCCCCAGGAGGTCTCCCATCCAGGTACTGACCAGGCTCACACCTGCTTAGCTTCAGTGGGCTGCCAGTTGTGAGTTGCAGGGTGATATGGCTGCTGGTTTTTGTTTTGGTATTGTTAACCTCAAGGAAGCACTAGCTTTTTAAGAGATAAAGTGTCTCATGAGTGAAACGTGTAGCACCTCTCTAGCTGTTCCAGGTTGTGCACTCTGGTTTTGTGAGCTGCCTTTTCAGTTCAGACCATAAACGTTTTATAGGAGCAGGGCTTTCTAGCTCTGTAACTTTCTGTAATCAGTTTTTCACACACTGAAGCCATTGATTCCTTCTCTGCAACCTTAAGCTGTTGATAATTTACAGACAAATAAAACACCTGCTGGATTTCACACCCTGTAGACAGGAATTGGGAGCCACAGTACTCAAGATTATAATGACCAGGGGTTAAGAATGCTGATTTGTTTGCTCTCTCAAGCATTTGGTCTATGAGCTTGATGCAAGTCTTTGAATTGTTACCCAATTGTAAAGGCAACCAAGCTTGACCTTTTCCACAGAAGACACCAGTTTTTAGTTATAGTTTCCTTGTAAACCTCTGTAACAGTTCTAAATCGAATATCAAGATCAGAAGATGCAAATCAACCCTAAAACAGAAGGCTTCCAGTTCTCCTATTCATATTACAGTTGTGATTCTTGTATTAGCATAAACTTTTCCAAAAATCTATGCCAGGCTCCTTCTTCATGTCTTTTCCATTTTTCCATTCAATGGATTGAATCCACAGGACTCTGATTCGTGACATCCACCATTGCATGGTGGTCATAGACTACCACTTGATAATACCAGAGATTTTGGAAGGTTCTTGGTTTTTGCCTCCCAAACCATTTTTTCCTGAATAAAACATTCATTACAACATTTTGATAAAGGACACCAGAGTTGAGATTGGGAAGTCTTATGAGTTTTCTTATAGCTGCCACTATTGTGATGTTAAGGTTGATAAGCTTTTACCTTCCCTGGGCAAGGGACCTTAAGCAGCACCTCAGCCATTCCTAAAAAGGCCCTGTAAAGCGCTGCCCCCAGTATGTCACTGAGGAGGTTTAGCTGACTGGGACAGTAGTGCTGGTCATGCATAAACCCCTCACAGTTGCCACCCCAATCTAAGTCCTTTTAGAGGCACCCACCCAGATTGGTGATTGGTGATCCCACTCCCCACCATTTCCACCATCCCCAAGTGTGAGGGGCTGAAGTCAAGTCAATAGTGGGAGGCAATGCCAGTACCCCCGGCACACTGCCATCCTGTTTGTGCCCAAGGGTTGTGTCCCATAACCTCCATGACTCTCTTTTCTTCCCCAAAGCTTCTCAGGGTCATGTAGAGAGCTCAGATCTTCCACATTCAGTTCTCCAGAATGCCAGTAGAAGGCCATCATGCAATTTTCAGAAAACAACATCTAAGTTAACTAGATTTTCTCCACCAGTGTGTTCCCAGGTTTTAGCTTTTTAATTTGTGACAGCCAGAGCAGTCCCAGTGGTCCCACTGCACACACAAAACACACAATAACCAGTTAAGTAAAATCTAAGAGGCTTTACTTATAGGCTTTTATGGGCTGAAAAAACAATCACCTATAACATCATGCACTCCCTTTGTATATAAAACACTATTCAAATTAAACCTGTGTGCATCTTCACAGTATCGCTACTAATAAATTAACAAATTACCACTCACTGTGTCTATTTACAGTAGTTATAGGACATTTGTGGCCTCTTGTGGCAGGTCAGCTGAAACTGCAGTCCTTTCCTTTACTGGCCAGCTACTCGGGGTGGAACATATTGAATTGAGAAATGCAGCGTCTTGAAAATATTCACCCCCTTCCAGTAATGTCCCATTTTCCTGAATTAAAAATAATGTATACACATTTTTAAAGTGAATATATTAAACAACAATTAAATGCTCAAACAGTGCTTTCAGTGGTGAAAGAACTTAAATGTCCACAAAACCTACACAGAAAAGACCAAAAGTAAAATAATTTGAGATTTGATTAAAATAATTTTCTTTAGAAAATGCAAGTATATTGTGTAATTTAACATAATTACCAGGAAAGGGGTGAATACTGTTGCAAGGTGCTGTACAGTATATGTAATTATGTTTTACAATTATGCTGTTCAACTTCAATATTCCTTTTTATTTTTATTTCATTTGATCACATTTAAATTTAGAAATGTTTAAATATCTTGTTGCAAACTTGCATTTCTTTTAATGTTATCAGCTTTTTGTTAGTTAATCTAGGATATGAACAAAAGTACAGGATACTGTATATCCATGTGTAAATATTTTAGTGAAAAAAATATTGTAACATACTCTTTAGTTTTAGTAATGTAGCTGGAAACATTATACAGATATACCCCAATGACAATTATTTAAGATTTCAAATGTTCAGTATAGTGTCAGTGAAAAGAAAATGCAAAACAGTTCTTATTTGGCATGTGACTGGAGATAGAGTGTGAGATATTTGATAAAACATTGGATAAAATACTTTACTACATTCATTGGCAAATATGAGAGTAAAACATGAATTGTGGTAATTGTTCAGTTTCATATAGCATAAATGCAATACATTTTATTATATGCAATACATTTTATTATACATTTTGTGGATTAGCCTCCCCCTCTGGCCTGTTTTTAGTGGAGTACAGCTGCGGTTGATTTGTTTCACTATTGCCTGAGAACCAGACATTTTTGTCCTTCTGTGATCACTGTGTTGCTTCTGAATGCACCTTAGTGAGGAGATGGAACGCATTTCATTCTGATGGGATGCTTTTGGGTATAGTCCCCAGCACGCACTTGGACTGAAATGAGTTTGTCTTTGCTATTTCATTACAGTTATGTGTCAATGATGAAGAAAGCTGCAAATCGAGTGGCTAAAGACTATTACTGCACTAACACATTATTTCCAGCAATATCAGAGTGTGCATTGGTCCGCAGAGGAATATAATGAATGTTTTAAGATGAAAAAGCACTTTTCTTTGTTTTCATTGACATATAATTGCAGTAATGCTTTCATACTTTGGGAATTACCAGTGATCATGGAATAGTTACAAGTTAAAATGTTCAGGTCTAGCCCTACAACATTTGTACTAATTCCCAAAGTTTCTGAGTATTACTGATTATGTAAGTGCATCACGCAAATTAGTATTCAGTCATTTTCCAGCATCACCTTTTATCATCATTTGTCATCATTTGATAGAAGTAGCAAACAGCTCACTCTCTTCTCTGAATTTTTCTCTTTTGAACAGATAACATACTTGACGATCGACCTGAGGGGAAGTCATTAAGTGATAAATTTCAGTTTGAATACAGTGATGAAACTCCAAAGAGAATTAAAAAGGCAGACAGTACAATGCAAAGCAAAGGAAAGGTAATTCTCACGCCACAGAACTTTCCTCCAGGATGTGACTTTTGGCTGTTAAATAAAAATCATTTGTTTTGCAATTGAAATAATAAATAAGAACTACAAGGATTACATTACAAAAACTATTTGCATGTATTCTCTGGAAATAATTCTGCATTTCCATTACTTAAATGTTTTTGAGAATATACAGTATTGGAAAGAAAAATGCTCAGTTGTATTCCCATCACATACAACTTGTAAGGTCTTGAATTCATACACAGGTCTGTTATGAGTAATAAAGTGTAATTTTCACGGTATCTATCCCCTTTTCTTTCACTCAGGTTTTTGATATGGAGCTAGGCGAAGAGTTTTATCTTCCACAGAACAAGAAGGAGAGCAGACAAATTGCACAGGAACTTTCGGATTTGATTATATACTGCCAGGCGGTCAAATTCCCAGGTCTGTAACGTGTCTTTCCTCACAAAAAATGTCACTCAGTTTAATCAAATATTTAAGTATGTGCTGCCAGGAGCTTAGTGTTTTTTTTTGCTTTCCAGAGCCAGATGAGAGTAGGTGGTTTACTTTTGTAGATTTGTCTCCTAGGAACTAATTAAAAACAAGACTTATCATTTCTTTGAGCACTTCTGGCAGCACAGTAGAAATTAGTTTACAATTACACGAGTGAGCTGATGTGGTTCTGTGGATGTCACAGCCATCAACCGCATGTGCTTTTCAGTTGCCTCATGAGCACAGATTCATGAAATGCAAGGCCACTGCACAGACTACACTGAAGCTGCAGTAGAGAATTAACTTAAATACCGATAGACTACATCGTCAAGCAGCTTCTGGAAATGGTTTAAGCAAGAAATTGTTCAACGTCAGGTACCCAGCTGAATTGTGTAGAATTCCCAAGGAAAGAACAACAACCTTTAAAGAAAAACATTGGAAAAAAGTAGTGGCCTCCCTGACCCTCGCCTCCTGTTCACGTCTCTATCTAATTGTGTGTGGGAAACAGGCCTTTCAACTCTAGATCCATCGACATCTGGCAGAGGAAAAGAGAGAAAGTCTAAGAAGTCCATCTTTGGAACTAATCCTGGTAAAACCAGCCCAGGGGAGTCTATGACATTGGTCAGAGCATCTGGAAAAGGTAAAGCCGTTTCGTCAGCCTGATGTATTGCATATCAGAATGAAGTCTAAGGAACACACACAGAGCTGTCTTGTGGTGGGAATAAACGAAATGATCTAGTTGACAAATTTATTCTTATTACAACACGTTATGTCATGTTTCAGAGTTCAAATTCCTGTCTTGATTAGCTTAGTAATGTATTGTATAAAAAAATAACTGAGTGTGTTAGGACATGTTAATACAGAACTTGCAGGAATGAAGATTAAGTGACGCCAGGACTCCTAGTTCAGGATTTCTTAGATTTTAGCAAATTCCATTCTGGTTTATAGTTTCTTTTGATAGACCCCTGTTACTTCAGCTCTAGTTCACGTATAGACATGAGGTGGGTGGCTATTTTAAATACACTATTTAAAAAACTAATGAGCTGAGCAGTCTGTGAAAGTCTTTTGGATTCATAGTGATATTCTGTAATTGTTTGGCATCTTGTCTTTCGTGCTTCTCCTTGATCTTCACTGGCTATCAGTAGTTACTAAGATACAACAGGGTATATTTACTTGCCATGTTTGTTCGTGCTGTACAGGTACTTTTGATGGGTCGCGACTCAGCTGGGAGGAGTCCCCTGGGCCCCTGGTGAATCCCAACACCTCTCTGAGCGCCATCATTCGGACGCCAAAGTGCTACCACATCTCCTCGGTGAACGAGAACGCGGCCAAGCGCCTCTGCCGGAGGTATTCGCAGAAGCTGATTCAGCACACCACCTGCCAGCTCCTGAGGACGTACCCTGCTGCCACCCGCATCGACTCTGCCAACCCCAACCCCCTGATATTCTGGCTGCATGGCATCCAGCTCGTGGCCCTCAATTACCAGACAGACGGTAGGGAATCACTCTGCTTGCTGGGTTTGTTTTTTTCTGTTCTTCCATAGAAAATTAAGTATTTTATATCTCAAGACATGAACTTTAACAGGTATGTCTTTATCTAAAAGGTTAAATGAGTCACTAGCTTTTCTTTAATCCAGTCATCCAAATATGCGAAGGATAAAGGCCTTTTCTGCAGGGAAAGAGCCAGGAGGATCCATTTCCCTGTGGATGAAAGGGAAATTTAGGTCTTCAAAAAGAAGCTGAACAGACTTTAGTTTTATCTTTACTACCCCAACCTGTTTTCACTCTCACTGTGGACAGCAGGTTTCCTACTGTACCTCTCTCTAACAACTAGGTACTGGGTGAAGCACATGACTATTCAGCTTATTTCTTTTTTTTCTTTTTCCATCACAAATGTACAAAACTGTGATACTGGGAATGTCAAACATTATTATTTTCCCATTTGTTATTGCTAATATAGCATTCCCAACCACAATGGAACATTTGGTAGATAAAAAGGATGCACTCATCAAAAAATTAATCGTTTTTTATGTGTCACCCTTCAATCACCTGTTTCTCTTAAGCAGATGATTTGTTTAATTTAACTGTTCAGTGATCATTTGAAAAGAAAATCACAAAACCCTGTAACCCTCTAGGACAACAGTTGGCTGTTGTTGCCTTAATTGAACCAGTTAACCTATTAAATTGAATGCTTGTGTGTTTATATATTGATGAAGGGTAGCCTATAGGACCTGTTGTGGCTTGGATCTCTCCAGGTCCAGGCCTGACCACCCCTGACTATTAAAGGTGACAGTGATACAGTATATTGGAGAAAGATCTTTTCAAAGGACCAGAGAAGTATTATATTTCCCCAATTATTGTACTAATATGCTTATTATAATGAAGCAGTGTTTTATTCCCTTGTCTCTTGGTGTTTAAGGGATCAGTTACATGCAACTCATATTTCAATGCACTATTATGAACAAACCATCTGTTGAATCAGTAGGAAAAAATATATTACTGTAATAGTATAGTAATACTTATCAGTCAGGCTCACTTTTTAAATGGACTGTAGGAGTGTGGGGGGATGGATGTACTGTACATTAAAAAAACTTTGCTAATCTTTATGAAAGAAAAATAATTTTTGCACCTCAACAGTTTGAATTACCGTGCTGCCCCGAATCGGGGGTTCTGTATGTGCTGAGTGTGTCGTTGCCAACCTTGAATGGGAAGTACAGTGTGATTCGGGGGGCTCAGGAATGACTAATCCAGTGCAGGCTGAGGTTTCTAAACTGGAGACTGCAGCAGTGGCAGTCTGGGCTGCCCCTCGTCAGCAGTGACAGGGATTCATTACATGACCGCCTGGGAGCTGAGAGCCGCTGGAGTGGGGTGCGCTTCAGTCTGACAGGGTGTCCCCAGTACCCTGGATCCTGCAGAGCTCCTCTCTGCTGGCTGGCTGCAAGCCCCCTGTGGAGCCTGCATTCTGGAAAGCAGTGACTGGCTCAGACAGGACTGCTGTATAAAGCCCAGCTGAGTAACAACGGAACAGTCGGTGATGAGAAATGTCAGGATGCCGGATGTTGGCCGTTCTGTTTTCTTTTTAATTTGTCCTTCCCAAATCGGATTTCAATCAGGGAACAAGCTGGAGGAGCTGCATTCTGCCGCGGCTCCCAGCAGACCTCAGTAACACGCGGCCTTTGCCTGTTTGACAGACCTCCCCATGCACTTGAACGCTGCGATGTTTGAGGCCAACGGGGGCTGTGGTTATGTGCTGAAGCCGCCCGTGCTGTGGGACAGGAACTGCCCCATGTACCAGAACTTTTACCCTCTGGAAAGAGACGTGGAAAGCATGGGCCCCACTGTGTATTCCCTCACAGTAAGTACCAAACCTTTTTTTCCCTCCTGAATAAACACGCAAAACAAACAAGCCTGATATGTTCGGGTCATTCTTCAGCACAGTTCCAAAAAGGGAAAACCAAGAATGTGATTTCTCGATTTCAGTAGGTGGTCACGGGGAATAAAGATCAGTAAGCATAGCACCACAATTTGCGATGTGCTGAATGGCCTCATCTCATTTGGAGCCTTTCTTGTCTTTCTTGTCACTTCACATTAATTTTGGCAGCTGGATGGAATATGCCCCAATACAGTAATTTGCAAGAACTAGTTGCTACTCATTGGGTGAGAGTTTAAAGCTTATCTCAAATTGAACAGGGAGATTATTTGTAAATGTCATAAAAGGTAAATATTCATCAACTGTTTGTCTACATTTTTGGCAAGCAAACTGGAAAGTCATGAGGACTTCTTTAGTTCAGTTCAAGTGCTAGTTATTTCCTGTTAGTTCACTTGCAAAAAATGCTATCTGCAGCTTATCACTATTGAATAAATAGCAGATTCCAGAGTGGGGCAAAAAGGCATGCAGATTACCCTGTGACTGCGTTGTTTTTTATCCCTTTTGCAGATCATTTCAGGCCAGAACGTCTGTCCTGGCAACACAGCAGGAAGCCCGTGCGTTGAAATTGACGTCCTGGGCATGCCCATAGACAGCTGCCACTTCCGCACCAAGCCCATCCACCGGAACACCCTGAACCCCATGTGGAACGAGCAGCTCCTCTTCCACCTCTACTTCGAGGACATGGTGTTCGTCCGCTTCACCGTGGTGGAGAACAACAGCTCGCAGGTCACGGCCCAGAGGATAGTGCCCCTGAAGGCCCTGGAGCAAGGTAGGAGCCTCGAGCTTCAGGTTGCCAGAAAGTACACGCCGTACTTTTTTAAGGTGGCTTTTCTGAGGGGGTGCTTTCGAATGATCCGGGTTCAAAGAACGATTTATATAATGGTATATTCCTACACTAGATACTGTTTTTAAATTAGGTCGAATTACAGTGAACAAATTATGCTCGAAGAAGAAAAGAAAGTTTTTACATTGAGCACAGGGTTTAAGCAATGAAAGGAGCAATTGTTTCAGGATGTTTCGGATAAAAATCAACTTCTTCAGCTGTTTAGAAAGAAATGAAGGAAATTCGTGACATATTTACCAGGTGACTAAGGGATGCAGTGGATTCACTTTTTCTGTTGTTGAGTGAACTTCTTACCAAATGTTTCTCCAGACACCATTTCCTGTTGCCATACTTTATTGTGACTCTAGATTCTGCTGCATTGCTGCTCACAGTCACATGGTGAGCTGGCAGACAGGTCTGGTGCAAAGACATTCAGCAGAGCTCTGCTGGACAGATGAGTAATGAGAGAAATCTCTGCCCTTGAATGCAAGAGCTTGTGTTTGCACAGAATTTGAAAGACAGTAGAGAGACAGTTTGCTTTTGTTTGTTTTCGGTTTGTGTTCTTATCCCTGCACTCTTAGGTGCTGCAAATCATCTTTTTCTCATGGAATGCTATGGTTGTTTCAGGGTACAGACATTTACAGCTGAGGAATCTGCACAATGAACCACTGGAAGTTTCCAGCCTCTTTATATACAGTCGGAGAACGGAGGAGAACCCCAGTGGCAATATTGTACCTGCATCAACAGTAAGGAAACTAATTCTTTACCAGGTTTATATTCATATTGTAATGTTTCGGGGTTCACGTGGGCTCCCTCGCCGCTGCCGCATCAGGCCGGCCCCCCACCATCAGGGACTCAAACCCAGGCCTCCGGCATCACTCAACAGGGACCCAGCCTCTTGAGCCAAAGGGAGATCTCCCGTCAGCCTGGCGGCTGTGGTCCCTGCTATCCACAGGGAAGGGCGGTGACATCACCGCTCTGGCAAGCCGGCTCTCACAACCAATGGAGGCCATATGCATTACAATATACAGTATATGACACTCATTTAACGGGTTTCATTGTCCTAAAACTTTCCTGTATTTTGGCTTCATTTTTCTCTTTCATCATATTGAGTTCAGCACTCGGTTTTGTCCCAGAGTATTAGTAGCTTAATGTTAATTGCTTACTAGTAATTACTTTTTTGTTGGAGGAACTTGCAGATTTTGTCTGGGCTTTTGTGTTTTTGTCTCTGTTGAAGTTTCCATTCCTGCAGTGACCACAGGAAGCCGATGCTTCAGGCTACTCTGTGGAACAATCTGAATGATAAATATTTAATCTGCCACAAAGTGTCACTTTGCCAGGAAGTGTAGAACTTGGGTTACTGTTTCTGAAGGAGTCATTAGACCTCAAATAACACAGCGCAAACACAGCAATCTCTCTGAGATGTTATTATTTTTGTTCATATCCAGCTATTCAGCACGGAGGAGCGTCGAGCAGCTGTCCAGTTCAAAGTGACTGTCCATGGGGTCCCGGGCCCAGAGCCCTTCACTGTACTGTCAGTGAGTGAAAAGACCAGCGCCAGACAGCTCCTCCACAGGGTGAGTCTCCACCCACAACCACACAGTTCAGGGAAGGGCAAGGGAAAGAGCAGCCCAGCCCTACCTAGTGTGGGAAAAGAGCATCATGGAATTTTTGTCAGATTCCTCTTCGTGTCCTTGACTGATGTTATTATTATTAGATATATTGTTTTTTAAAAAAAAATCATGTTGGGGAAGGACAGCTTCAGCGTCCAGATTTGTCTTGTTAACTGCCAGGAAGAGCCACTTTTTTCTCTTGAGGAATGTAGCCTTTTTCAGAGGTAAATGAGCTCAAGGCTGATACATTTCAGAACAATTATTATTTTTTATTTTGTTTTTTTAGATTTCATAGGTTCAATTCTGTGCAACAAAACCAATTTCAACTGGTTTTGCCCTTTTTTTACAGTATGCCATGTCAGCAGGGTTAATGTCAGCTTCGGATTAAATATGACTGCCTTGAGTTTTACTAAGCTCCGGAAAAGCTTATTCTGATTATTAAGTGAGAAGAGGTGTTGTCAAACGGAAATGCACATCATTTATCACTACCGTTTCAGCTTGGAAAATGACCAAGTCGTATTTTGCACTAAACATGACTGCTTTGATGCCGTTTTAATATTTTGTTTAGAGAAATCTCGAAACACTCGTACAGATGGGTTGGGACTTTGACTGTCTGGGTTACTTGTTCTTATCAATGACTTATGGCTAGTCTCCAGTAGAGCGCGAACTTACTGCCTCAGTTTCCTCATTTGTTAAGTTTTTTTCTTTTACTTTTTCACTTACTGGTGCTTGGCTCTTGGCATTTGTCACAGTTTACTGTTACCCCAGTGCCTTAGCGTACAGCAGTTGCATGTTTTTGTATGAGCTTGGTGCACGAGTGTGGCTTTGCCCACCCATTGACCTTGCATAGCAGAAATGTAATTTTCTGGAATTCGAGGAAGGAAAAAGGCCCGAGCGGGCGAAAAGGTCCAAGAGCTGGATGATTGAGCCCGTTCTCGGTCATGGTTTGCGAGGACTGTTGCGTTGAGGCTTGGCAGCCACTCTTGTGCTCCTGACGAGTGCTGTTCATGGCTGCCTCAGGCACTTGCCTCGACTCAGGGCTCCACGTCAGACTACTTCCTATCGGAGGAGAAGGTGCCCTTGTCGAAGGAGAGGAGTGAAGCCCGGAAACAGACGCTTCAGCGAGCCATTGGACCTGAGGAGGAGATTCTCAAAGTGCTGCGCAGCTGGTTCCCAGAGGAGGGTTATGTGGGAAGAATCTGCCTGAAAACCAAGGAAGACGTAAGTCTTATGCTACTGTAAATAGTGTAGTTGTAACTCTTGAGCAAGATATTTGACAGTAAATTCAAATTAAGCACAAAATTGTGAACTTTGTGAAAGTACCGTAAGTCGGTGTGTTGTTGCAAACCCCTGATCGTGCCACGGGTGAGAGCGAGATTTCCCACAAATTGTGATGTGATGCGGCCCTTCCTGCTCACTAGTCACTGTAATGACTAATGTAATGTGATGTACGAGTGAATACGTACAAGTGCAGCAGACATTTCACAACAGAAGTGTTCCAGTGTGATCTGCATGCAGAGTTAAGTAGTATTTGTGGACAAAACCATCTTGAAATTGAGAGCAATATTTCTATTGGATTAAGAGATGTATTCTCAAGCCTGTTTGTTTACAATGTAATAGGGCCTTATCACATCACTGGAAGTTTTGTTGCTTTGTTCTGAATTGCAGAACATGGCTCTGCACATACCTGGAAGTTTAATCTATTTTATGATGTACATTGGAGCTTTTACACATTACTGTGTATATTTTACTTTCATTGTGGTTTGAAATGCACTCATCATTGTTGATTCTTCCTAACCCTGAAATATAAAAATTGTATTGCAGTTTCCCTTTAACAATGCTAATAGTTCCCAAAATAATATTAGTTTTTTCTCAAGTTCATTTGAAATAATTTTTCATCTTAAATGCTGTTTTATCCATACCAATGTATTTGTATTGGCTTTCCTCATAAAAATATTCTGACCAAACTTTTGATAATGTCACATGCCCTCTGCTGGGTAATTTGTGTACTGCATTTATCCCAGCTAAATCAGCAGTTCATAGATTATTCCTGAATTTATGTTTGATTATTATTAGCTTGTGGTGCTATTTAAAGGCACATTCAGAGTACAACCTGTAGCTCTACCTGATGCCCAGTTTAATTCCTCTGGGTATCTTCATCCTTAACACTGATTGGCATTACTAGCTGAAAAGCCAACAAAATGTGCTTATAGTTGTTTATTCATGAGGCTTTTGAAAAGAAAATAAAGCATCACCCTAATTTTAACAGAGTGGTTCACAATGTTTATTTTTACACACTCCTATCTGTATGTGTGTGAGTCTGTGTGCATATAACCATTATTAGAAAAGTCATTTTTTTAAATACAAAGAAATGGAAATTCGTGCTGTTTTGGCTTTCACTGTAAAAGTGCCACTGCGTGGCTAAGAGCTCCCCTGTCCTTACAGAGTCCGAATGAGGGCACCCCCCCAATGGAGGGTGTGGAGGAAGCGAGCAGCGGCACAGACGAGGACACTTTCTTCGTCCAGGTGCACGACGTCTCTCCTGAGCAGCCCCGCACTGTCATCAAAGCGCCCCGTCTCAGCACTGCCCAGGACGTCATCCAGCAGGTGATTCCGCACACACAAACCCATCCATTCAGCTTAAAACGAGGCATTTGCTTTATTTGCAGATTACAAACATTTTCACCAGGATTTATTGTGGATATGTTTCAAGTCTCATTTCTGAGCCTGCAAATGTCTGAAGCATGCTCTTAGCAAAATCTCACATTTTGAATCTGTGGTCGAGGCCGAATGCTGTCATGTTTGAATGGATTAACATTCATTTTTAAAGCTGTTTCCTCTCTGCTGCTTGTAGACACTCTGCAAGGCTAAGTACTCCTGCAGTATCCTCAGCAATCCCAACCCTGGTGATTATGTGCTCATGGAAGAAGTCTTCAAGGAACCTACAAACAAAAAAGCCTCAACTTCCAAGCCTTTACAGCGCATCCTGTTTGATCAGGAGTGCGTTTACCAGGCCCAGAGCAAGTGGAAAGGGGCGGGGAAGTTCATCCTCAAGCTCAAAGAACAGGTGCAGGTGTGTAATGAACCATATAGCCACATGAGGCATACAACCGGGTTAAATTCTACTTTGCATTTTTTTTGTCTTCTCAAGGATAATTTGTTCTGGGTGACAGATAAAACTGTGCATTCAAGTTATCCATTTTGTACTTCTGATGTGCGGCGCCAATACCACATTTCCACAGGCGTTCCCCTGCACGTGTTTGTAATTACCATTTCAAAAATTGTCCTAAATGTGAGTTGTAAAGGAGTCATCAAAACTAATATTTTTACTCTTCTTAGTTTTAATGTGATTAATAATCAAGAATGCATTTAGCAGAATCAAAAGTGAAAGATGACGTGTTAAAGGCAGGTGGTCTGGTTCTGGAAGAGCAGGTTACATGTGCCAGGGATTGACTGTTGTAGAGCAGTCCTACACTGCTCTACTAGGGCCTGGCTGATTGAGATGTCTTTGTTCTCAGACTGCTCGCGATGACAAGCGGAAAGGGATTTCCTTTGCCAATGAGTTGAAGAAATTAACCAAGTCTGGGAAGCCCAGTAAAAGTGCGTTGGGAACGGCTCAGGCTGTAACCCCCGAAAGTGTGCAGAGTAAGGATGACAAAGCTGCATGGAGTTTGCACTTGAGTGAAACCTCTGAGTGACATCGCTGAAGTGTTTGCACTAAATATTGATAAGGTATGGCTTGCAGTCAGACCGCTTTTTAAATTGGTGTCCACTTTTATGCAAAGATATGTAACAGTACATCGTGATATTGACAAAAGCGATTCATTTCACAGCCCAGTTTTTCAGTAGGATCAGTTTTTATTCATACCATTTTTTTTATGAATTTGAAACTTTCACTGCAGCAACATTTCTTCTTTTTTGGCAAAGATAATGACTAAATTTAGATGGCTTACAAGGACATAATGGATGATCATGAACCCAGGATGATTACCCCTCAAGGGTTACTGGAGTGTTGGGTGTGAGATTAACAGCATGGGTGTACAACGTAACTGCATGTCAATAGAAACAGCCTGCAGATCTCGAAAGAAAAGTAAGCAACAGATGACTGGCCTCACCACGCTGGCATTCATTCGTGTCCTTGAGTGCAGTGGAATTTATTTGCCTCATTAGGAACATTGAAATTTTGATTGTATGTAATTAGATAAGCAGCCATCAGATAAAGCCATGCATTCGTTCTTCGATATCTATAAAAGTTGATGCAAGTTATTTTTGCCCTGTGCTTACAGGAAGCTTTTCCGAAGGACTCAAAGCTCTGGTTGTGGACAGCAGATCACAGGCAGAAAGACTCCAAGCCAGTGGCACAGAGAGGCTGACCCTGCAGGGCCAAACTCCCTCTTCTCCTACCTGGGCTTTCCCTCTACTCAGAAACTGGAAGTTGCACAAATGAGTCCGGTACCAAGCAGGTACATGTGGAAATTCAAGAGAGGAAGGTGTTGGTGGAGCCCCTCTCCCTCGCTACACACACAAATATCTTGGGCTTGATTGTCTGGCAGGTAACTTTCGTGAGCTGAACGTCTGCTACACAAAGCTCAGGCCTCCTGGTTTTCTTAGGACCGTTCACTCTGAAGGTGAGGTGAAGACTTTTGAAGTGGTGGTGAACAATGTGTCAGTTATCGTTGGGCGAGAGGCCATCCAGGTGGTCACTACAATATTTTAAGTAAATCCAGCTGTTCATTCCCCCCCCGGGGAAGGGGAGAAGTATTTAAGTCAACAGCAGTCTGCTAAGTATTGATAAAAAATACTTCATGGTTATATATGGATATATATCTATATTAATTCGCAGAAACGTTTATGTGTTGAAGTAAAAGGTAAAAGTTTTTTTTCAGGGCAGACATGCTGGTGTATTTGTGAAGTGGGAGAGGTCTGCTCTTCGTCCCACTGAAGAGGTGACTAACAAGCTGGCTTGTTAGGATCACTTCCAATGAACTTCTTTTATCAAGTACTGTAATATACATGTATTACATGTGTTTTAGAGATAGCTTGTGGTTTGTGAACCAGTTCAATTATATTTTGCACTTTTTTCTTCTTTTCAAGGTAATTTGTGATGAAATAATGCTGTGGTACTGCATTACCCAACTGCATCATCCGTTGTTGCCTAAATGTTGTAAATGATGATGTAGATACAAATTCTGCTGTGTAACTAACACAATCTGAATTGTTCTCTTTGTGGTGACTTCATTTAAAACTCTTTCTTTTGTTTAGATTCAGAGTGACAGAATATGTTCAATAAATAGTAACTGATCTTTTAAGAGCTTCAGTAACAATCATGAAGAGGCTATTTTTGTTATCCTAATTTTGCTAGCTAGCTTCTTGATTTAAAAATCCTAAATTCTTTATTGAAGGATCCAATATTTCCTAGTTATCACCAGATAAGTTCTGTTGTTTTTAATGTTTTTTCTGAAGTTTTTAAGATTTTTTTAGATGGCCATTTGGATATGAATTGCTACAGTAAACAAAGAATGTGTGTCTTAATACATTTAAAAATTGTATGAAGAACAAAATGTATGATGTACGAAAATGTCAATATGTACATGTCATGTTAAATATTGTATTTGTGTGGAAATCTGTGAATGTATTCTATGATTATTATGTGAATTATTTATACCATTTTAAAACCTTTTATTTTTTTATTGGTGGTATCTTACTCAGATCCTAGCCAAACACAAAAAAATCTATTGATAATTTTATTATTGTAGCTGCTTGTAGTAGGGCTCAAGTATTGAACAGAAAAAGTGCACTAGTCCTGGGCTGGTTTTTGTCATGAGATTATTTTCTTTGACCTTATCATGCAAAGTGAAATATTTAATCTTTTAATAGGTTTAAGTTTTTGTCTGTCAGAGAAGTTTTGCTTTTACACAACCACCATTCTGCTGTTGGTTTATTTGGTTATATAACTGACAACATAGGATAGAAACTTAGATTAATGTTCTCACAAGGGCATTGTTACACTCTTTTGCAATAACCTTCATTGTGGAAGATAAAATATTTTGTTTGTTACTCTTTAATGGACCATAATACAGTCCAAAATATATTTTAAAGTTTGTTTAAGGGTTTTCCAAATGTCTTGTTTAACTTGAAGTGAGATTATTTTTTAATAAGTACAGTAAGTACAGTACCCTTAACAGGTCATTACCTTTAGATATTTGTACTATTATAGAAGCCAACTAAGAATTGTGTCACAAAAGATGCACCATTACATACTCATAAGCCTTAAGTGGTAGATTGTACAAGCATCTTCCATAAAACTACAGAACTTTGACCTCAGCAACAACCCAATGTTTTTACCTTTCAGCCTAATCACAAGTTCAGTGTTTTGTGTATTTAAATATAGATTTAACTTATTTCATGTTACAGCCCTGGTTGGCTGTATATATATTGTGAGCTGTGTACATAGCATAAGTACTTATTTTTTAAAAGTTGGGTTTTGGTGTTACTATAGAAATGAACCTTATTTAAAAGAACTGACTAATTTATTTGGCACAAAAATCTTTACACTTTTCTTTTCTTCAGATGTTATTGACAATTAAGTGCATTTACGTAAAGCTGAACGCTACTAGATTGTGGAAGATTGTCTTTCAGTCAAATGAGTGTGTAATCCATAAGGTGATGTTTTGCATACTCACCATCATACATTTCTTTAACATCTTTAAGTGTAAACTTGTATTTCTGAACTATATTAACTAATGCCTACATTATTTAAACATTTGTCTGCAGTATGAGCACTATAGTGTTACATAACATTTTTAGTTATCTTTTAGAGTCTTCAGCGAGTTTTTCTTTTGATGCCTTTTAATCATGTCTTTTACTTTTTACAAAGGCAAACATCTAAACTTCCTAAAACATTCTTGTTAGTAAAATATAACACAAGAACAATCTTTTGACAAATTGCAAGAAACTTTTTAGTTTTTGTTAATCCTATAAAAATTGATAAAAAGCATTTTGTTTGTAATTTGGTACAACTACAGAAATTGTTACATTTTTTTCTTCACCTGACCATACCAGTCTTCATGTACCACAAACATGTTGCATAGTGTATGTAAGTGAAAATTGTTTTAGACACTGCTATATCTCTGCCAAATTGAAAAGTGCATACGTGTATTAGAATAAGTAATAAAAGACTTCATGATCTCCCTTGCCGTGAGATGTTTTGTGCTGCTGCAATATGTGCATTGATTCTGTATGTCTTTCTACCCTGAACATTAGTAACCCTGTGAAGATTGCTTGGAATATGACTGGGAAACACCAGCAATTTAAAGCCCAACCTGAATAGGCACATGCTATTCTAGCGTACAAACAGCATGCAAACAAACATCCTACATTATCAGTTCCAAATACATAGTTCTTTTAATACAAGTTTGGATACAGTGTAGCTAAAATATGAATCTGGGAATCTGACGTTTCACAAAGTTCAAGTGGTCACTATTTATAGTATTACTTCATCCAAGTCTTTGTCCATTTAAAATTCAATGCTCCTGTGTAACACATGTATAAATGGCCAGGAATGCTATATACTGTACATGTGAACACAGAAGACTAGCTAGTATACGACTCTTAGGTCTTTTTTGTTTTACATCAATGACATGTTACAGGTACTTGATGTAATAATTAAGCAGATTTTGGAATCACAACGAAGATAAAGAAGACTGGGGTTAAAGTGAGCCTGAGTTCAACAGTAAAATGGTTTCAGTAAAATTCATGGTTCACCTCATTTAAATTTACCTATGCCACATTTACCAGGTCTTAAATTTGCATAATAAAAGAATAATACAGATGTTTAAGACGGCACAGCATATATAATGGAATTTATTAACATGAAACAGAGAAAAATGTACATTTTTCATGCCTTAAGTGGAGACTGATGTGCCACTGAAAACTATTTCTCGGGCAACACTCTCACCTCTTCACCAGCCAGGGAAGCTTCACAGACAGGATTGTATCTTATGCTCTGCCAGCCTCCCGCTAGCTGTTCATTTCACGGGGTCCATCAGGTCTTCTTACATGTGCTGCGAAGTCCATGACTGTGGAGGCAGACGGAGCTCCGAGAACTGCGTCAATCTGTTTATTCAACTCGGCATTCAGTACGGCCTCTCCAATCGTGAATCGATCCTGAAAACCCCAAAAAAGAAGAAAGCAGCCCAACGGGGCAGATTTTTAAGAAATCAAATACTAACATCACTCACGCATTATGGCTGCCAGAACTGCTAAAAAGGAGAAAAAGATGCTTAACGATAACAGATGTCAGATGAAAACTAACCTTCTTCTTTGAAGACGGTTCTGCCACAGGAGGATTAAATGTCATTCCTTTCACACTGTAATTCTCAAAAAGATCAACAGCTGACCTAGACAAAGCATGAACAAAGACATTACTCAACTACTGTATATACATTCTTTTCAATCAAAAAACCCATTCATGTATAAATAATTAGAATGTGGTTACAGCTCAGTGAATTATAAGTTGAACCATCAACTTATTCCTACATTTTCACACCAACGCACCACAAGTGTCACCTATCGATCATCTTTGGCCTTGAATCACAACGACGAAGTACGCCGCGGTACAGCGACCCAAGACGGGGCCCCTGTAACGTGTTATGGGGTTTTAACGCCCATTCTGAATACATTCTGCTACATCTGTAGGCAGACAGAAATGTCACTGCATTCTCGTTTAACACCAGCACTGGAAAACAAAATGTCAAAAGGCTGAAATAAAATAAGTGCACAGAGAGGATTTAACAAGGTCAGCACAACACTGAGGCGATACAGAGCCCACAGTGAGAACAGGAATGGGAAATGTAGATAAGAGTCTCACCTTCGGCTCAGCTCCAAGTCCAGAGCCCGGGATCCTTCCACTGGAGCTCCAGCAGCGAGGTGCGCAGCAAACTTGCGCACAATGGGATGATAGTGTCTCTGGAAAACACAGGAGAAAGCAGTGAGGCAACGGGACACAAGCTGCCTCTCTGCTCCACATGGGTCCTCCTACCAGGAAGGGCTAGGCCGATGGGAGCGCTTACGAACGCGAAAGAGTTACAGCACCCATTTCCTCTACTCCTCTATGAGAGAAATGAAACAGAACAAATGATAGGCTCATGTACCTAGTACATGCTTTTAAACTTTTAAACTTTTTTGTGTAAAAGTGCTCTATATGTGTATGTGTAGTCTAGATCTTCTTTCTCCCAATCTCCCCAAAATAATATTCTTATGGATTATTTTTTGAAAGAAAGTAGAGAAGCCGTTGATGTTTTTTTTTCCAGTTTTCAGTTCCTGTGGGAGGAGTGGTTCACTGAGTATACTGTACTTCTGAAATAAATCTCCCCTCTTGAGAAAGAACTACTGTTTATCTAGTTCTCCTCTTTCCTCTCCGCTGGGACATCATACTGGGCACTCTTAAAACAAGAGTAATCCTGCATGGTTTCGACACCAATGAAGAGACGCTTAATTCTAAGGAAAAGGGCAAATTGAGGGCAAAAGAGTACTGAAGCATCACATTCAAATTGTTATTAGCAAAAGATACATCCATCCTTTGTTTCCCTCAGTATTACATTTTTACTGAATAGCATGAAAGGTGTCACCCGAGTGGAGGCTGCACTTCAGTAGAGGGTGAAACAGGTCCCTACCTACAGTATATGGAAAAATACTCCGAGATTCTCTGGAATTAGAATTTCTATATAAATGCAGTTAACTGATCAGTGAGTTTCCATTTCACAGTGCTTTATTAATGCCTACCTGAAGTGTTTGCAGCTCCCACAGAGCTGTGTTCTGCGGGTTACAGTACTCGGGCTCATCCAGCTCCGGCAGGTATATCCCACTGCCCTGCGACTCATTATCCAGAAGAATATCCGTCTTGGGGAATGTCTAAAGAAAGAAAAGGAAAAGAAACGGCAATCAAATCCACATTTCCAGTTCCAGTCTGGCATATTTCCTTCATACGGGCAATAATATCCACTGATGCAATTTAACAGAATTTTCTCATTTGTTTACAATTGCATTACTCAATTTGCAGGAGCTAATGAATACAATCGAATATTACAATCGAACAGCATCTGCACACTCGGACGGCAGCCTCAGAATGATGATTAATGAAAGGAAGTAAAGTTACTAATGTAAAAATTGTACTGTAATCAAGCATCTTCAGAAAGGAAATTCCTGAAATTAGTGTACGACTTACATGCATCAGAACCCGATCAGATGCCAAAATCCCAATGGTGGAATTGGGAAGCACATGCAGAGAGAGAGTGGTAAGCCGCTTAATGAAAGCCAGTGCTCTCTGAAGTGTAACTTGCTTCCTGCGTTTAGTCAGCATGATGTCCAGGCACTGGAGGACTATAACCATGTCATCATTTGACACACCTGCGGGATGGTAGGGACATTTATTAAAATATCACATAGTACATCTAGACAGAACAGATGACTGAGCAGATTCTGTTTGGACAATACAGAAACTTATCTAAAAGATGCTGAGCAACACATAAAGCACAACTATGCTCTTCAGCAGCTTCTGACTTCAATTTATGATTTATTACATTTGTACAGTGCATTTCCAGCCAAACAATTGCAAAGCTATTCATATATAGAAGGAAACCCACTTCATCTATTGCTGAAGCGCTTCTTCCCACTGGATGACAAACAGCAGATGATTTGCACCCACACCCCCACAACACAGCAGGTACGAGAAGTGAGGAAATACTAAGAATTACGGGGGGAACTTTAGGGAGGATGGAGTTTCCTTCAAGCCCAAAGGGGGCTTCAACCAGGACACTGGCGTTAGCACTCCTACTCTTAACAAGGAGTGCCACAGGATTTTAAGGAACCACTAGCTAGGACCTCGACCTCAAGGTCAAGAACGACATCTCCTACTGCACAGTGTAGCCACCACAGTGGGGCTTGGATCTGGATGACAAGAACATCATCAGGGCATGTTTTAGAAATAATACAATTAAGAAACTATGTTGACGTTTTCTCCCAAGCAAACGAAATTTAAACTTCACTTCAACCTCAAATTAAACACTTCTTGATTTTGGTTTCACAACAACCAAACGGATGAGGTGCAACAAGATTCGCAACAGCTTGAAGAACAGTTTGCGACATGAAGAACCCTACCTGCATGCAGCTTAAGGACTGTTTTGTACAGGTGTGTGTAGAATTTCAATGGGTCAATATTCAGCACATCACCTGTTTAAACACATGGAAAAAAACTGCAATTATTGCTAAGAAACATTTTAAATTTTCAGTAGAGAAGACAATGATTTAATGCAGTACCTTGACCAGAAAGGACGTGAAAGGCGGTCTGAACACAATGGAGGCTCTCTCGGTAGCTAAGAACCTTGAAATCAAAACAAAAACGGGAAGGTTGAGGGATACAGGACAGTCTTATTGGTACATTAAAACTGTAATACCATCTCACCAATCAGTTCAGCAACACTGCAATAGTTCACTCACCCCTGATTCTATAAGGTTGTGTAGCACCATCAATAAATCATCAAAAAATTCCACATTTATTAGATGAGCAAACCTGTTAATTAAAAAAAAAGATTATTCTAGGAGAAAAACATCAGTGATGTATTAATTACATATATAATTTATTATACCTAATGTAGTTTGATTGCCTTCTCAGACACATGGCAAAAAGCATCAAAGGCATCAAAACTGAGATATTATGATTGTAAAGTTAAAGTAGACTAAAGACAAAATTAACTGCATTATGGCAAAACATTATTAATGTTTAGAACTGGTAATGGTAAATATGATTCAAACTGAAACCCTTAGCAGCATCTAGAGGCTCAAAGCTCCAAAAGAACAAGGCGATTACACTGTAGCACAATAAGACAGTTATAAAACAAAAAGTGCTTCTCAAAGTTACGCCTTACTTTGCAAGACCTTCCAAAACTGTAGGAAGCAGAACAGACTTCTGGGCTTTTTTCAGTATTCTGAAGTAAATCAGGAACACAATGTTCAGAGTCTCCGTGTGCTGGCGGAGAGAGAAAGAAATATGTAAAAATACAACATCTGGTACTGCCTTATTCAGACGGATGAGATCTGTGATTGGCCTGTGATCTGTTTGACAGTGACAATACAATTTATAGGACAGTGTTCATAGATTTAAAACTTTTTATGGTTTGTGGATGTAGAACATGTTAAGTACTCAAACACTGTCCCACTGGCACGAATACCATACCGCAAGTGCTCATGTACCAAACCACTCATATTAGAAGACACTTATTCATACATGTTCTCAAAACCACAAAGGATGCAGGAGGACAGTTAAGAGGGTTTAAACCCTAAACCCTCAATAAAAAAGAAAAAAAGTGTTCAAAGTTAGTCACAAATCATTATAGAGCTACAGCAAACTAAGTCTTACTGTTTTTTGTTTTCTCGAATCTGTTTGGAACAAGCATTTGCGCTCACAATGAACACAACACTACCTGGGATCATCAAGAACCCACCAGTTTCATCTTTTTCTCTTTGCTTTCCGACGCCTCTGCTTCCAGAAGCTCCCTTTCTAGTTTCTCCTCAGCCTTCTTCCACTGCAAGAAGAAGAGCACAGCAGGCAAAGTCAGACTCGGCCAACACCAAAGCACACAATTTACGACCTGCTGCAGGGACAACACTGACCTTCCTCTGCATTCTGGACAGGTTTTTCCTCTTCTCTTTGAAAGTCATAAACTTTTTCTTGGGAGCGACGTCTTCAGCATCCTTCATGACCTCCATCTCCTTTATTCTCAGGCAAAGAAGAGTCTTCAGCACCTGTCGTGCAAGACCAATAAAAAAAAACTTTTCCCTTTTCACAAAATGACAAAAAAAACACCAAGTGTCTTTAAAAGCCACATTTAATCTGAAGATCAAAGAAACAGGGCACAGTATCTAAATACAAACAGTCTGTGGCATCTACATTATATACAGAATTATATAATGCAGCACACATGGTTTGGTTAATGCCCTCTAAAAAATAAACTATAGCATTAACTGTGAGCCTGGAGACTGCATCATAGTCAATGGACCAGGACAGGGGGGATGCTGAACTCCGATAGCACTCTGATTATTTACTGTATTTTTAAAAATTTCTGCTATTGAAAATACATTGACAGATATTAACAGTATTTGACAATACCCTGCGCCTATTCCTAAGCCTTCTTTAGCAAGTGTTTAGACTGAGACTGCAACCTTTTAACATACAAAAACGTATTTTACCATTTTTAGTACATTAAATACATATTTAGTACAAAAAATGAATATTGATCAACGATCACAGCTTGGCACACTAGGTAAACACAAAACTGTTCTTGTATGCTAATTCTATTGCTGAACATTTTGTAAACTATAATTTTTAAGTGACACTTAAGATAAAAACGCTAAATAATAAAGGATAAAAGACAAACTTACCTCAGGTTTGACATCATAGTTTCTACTTTTAACAAGGCCAGAGATAACTTTAACCATCCCTAGGGAGGCCTGTCCTACTTTGTCTTGTTTTAACATCTTTTTCACTGCTTCACAGCACATATCTGACACCTGTAGAAGGAAAAATAATTTCAAGGATTATTCCAAATGGGAGAAAGATCTTCCCTTTCTCCTCCGGAGAAAGAGAAACAGAAAAATATATTTTATCAAACAGCACTGAAAGATCCTTGAATCCTGGAACTGAAAAATATGTCTCCAAAACCCATTTATAACACTTTCAAATGGCACAAAGATGGTGGTCGGTCAATGACATCTGCAGCATAATTAAGCAGTGACCCATAAGCCTAGACCTGACTTAGTTCCAATGGTAGATATTATTGGGACTAATATAATGGTAATAATTATTTAATATCCTATTACAAAACTTTAACAGAATCTATGATTATAAAATTTGAAATATATACATCTCATACAAAAGAGGATAAATGGCCTATTCTTGCGCATCCCTGAATCAAGTCTGGTGAAGGCGTGGTGCAGAAAAAATATCAGGAAAATTGGTTCTAAGTTCTTTTTGGGATTTGTTACAGCAAACCTTTTTTTCCAATCAAATTTGTATCTCCACACTTGTTTATTCCCCAAAATCATCTTTAAGATGATGTATACAGCTTATAGTGTCTTGAGTTTTAGCACATTCACCTTTCTAGAAGGGTCATTCATGAGCGGTACGATCATCACAATAATATTGTTGTGGAAGTTGAAATGAGGAAAAGCAGTCAGGAGCTCACACAGACATTTCAGTGCTACTTCTGCCAGACCACGGTAGGCCTTCAGGGAAACAGCATCGCTTTTTTTCTTCTTCATCTGTTTCCAGTCTGCAGAGAAATTGCAACATCAATTCCACACTCTTGCTTTGCCAGCAATTCCTAAAAGTTGCCTGGAAAAAGTAACTTCAGCCAAACAGCATACTTATTTAAACAGATTCAAGAAACCAATATCTATAAAACCAAAAGCTCTTTCATTAAATGCAATCATAACATATCCTGTAAAAAAAATCAACATTCCAGAGTGTCTGCTCTGACATCATTTATATCATTTCATAAAATCTGTTCAATAAACCTGAATGATTGTAAGAATTTCACCAAAGCACAGGAATCATACATCAATGAACAATTCATATACACAAAAATGATTGCATTGGTTTAATTTTAACGTTCAATCTTCTAAATGAACAACAGAAAATTAATACTGAATATAAATGATGGAGTTTAAGTACCTTTTACAGTCTGTTCCAAATTCTCAAGGTAGAATTTGTACTGACTGACTAAGCCCTGTTCAAACTCTCGCAGCTGCTGGGTTTCCTTTTTGACCTGATTAAGGAAAATAAAAATGACAGATAAGACAGCACATTCATGTTTTTAGCTCAATGATTTTCAAACATTTACAGACAAAAGGTTTGCAGAAGCCTTACATTTTCAAACATTAATTACACGGAAAGATAACATTTCCTTATTGGAATCAGTATCTACAACGAGCATTTTCTATGGCTGGATAAAGGTAAGATTGATTAAATCAACAGGTTATTACCTTGGTCGCCTTTTCTGCTTCTGTCAGAGGACGGATTCTGTAGGACGGAACAATGTCCTTAAACACTTCCATCAGAGAGACCATCACAAGCTTTCGCACAGTCACAGCAACAAAAGGGTCTACTTCCATCAGCATTGAGCGAAGCTCTTTCACCTTTTTAATCTGCACAGGTAGAGAGGATAAACATGTTATAATATGTACATTAAAACAATAACAGGCTTGACCAGCATGTTGCAAAAGGGATAAGTCTTCTCTGGTATCAGTCCACAGAAAAGGAACTCCGGCTTAAAAGTAATGTGCTTTGCTGAACAGAGAGGACTACAAATTTTTTAAAGATACTGAAAATTTGGAATATAGTGGACTCCTTCAGCAACAACAGTGACAAAAGAACCTGAGGACAGAAGTGAAAACTAAGGGGAACAGGGATTGTGGCAGTCAAAAATAAACTACCCAGTGATGTTGTTGAAGGCAATACCCTAGTAAACCTGCTGGAAACAGCGGAATGAGATCTTTGGAACAATTTCCTTCCAGTAACCAAACTATATGACTTACATCAGTGTACTAGAATACACTGGGGATGCATTCTAGAAAAGTGCAAAGTGGTGTAATGTTTTTGAATTGGGGCTCAACAACTACTTTTACTGTTTTGGAAGGAGGTTTCCGTCGATGCTTTCCATTGCTGATTCACGCACAGTATTTAAATGAAATGCATCGCTCTTAAAATAATGAATTACACTTTTGTTTCAATCCTCTACAAAATTAGCATTAATACAGTATAGTTAAACACATATTTAATATACAATTTAATTAAAATAAGGCAAATCGCTGTGCTTACAATGCTATTTAAAGTAATTCCAAGCTTATGCACAGAATGCTGCCTTATAACTTGATCAACAGAGCGATATATTTGCAAGGCATCCGGCAATATAAACCCAATCAATGATTAAAGAATTAATATACAGTGGCTTACACATGTACCCGTGAGGAGAGGCTGGTTGTAAGCTATACACTAATTAGACCAGCTAATAACCTCAAGCAGAAAACACAATACAAAGGACCAGCATTTCATTTAGATTTCTGGAATGAATGTAACCATTATTTTCTCACTGAGACACAGAGGGAACATGGAAATATCTTCCAGAGCTTGCAACGCAGGTGGAAAACTGAAATAAGACAATCAGTCTGCTCCCTCACAGGATGGAAACCAACTTCTCTTCTTTGCTGTGAGCAAACTCACATTATTAACAGGCTCTGACAGGATGGCAGAGCCCAGCTCGGCGATGTGTGCCTTCCGCTCCTCCAGCCTCTGCCTGCGCTGGGACAGCATCTCCTGTCTGCTCAGGACGGGCAGCGGCTCCGGGACACTCACTTAGAGGAAACATGCATTAACAGGCACGGGACAATTACTGTAGGTCGTTCTCAGAAAACTGTGACAGGGATATATGAAACTGAAACTGGGAAAACCGAAAGGGACATTAGGTGATCAGGGGATGAACAGGCCGAGCACACTGAAAATAAATGTGATGTCTATTAGAAAAGGCATGATGACAAAACCAGTTTCTAACAGCTGTCTGTGAGCAGCAGTGGTTGAGGTTCTGGACTGAAGAGTCACAAGTTCAAACCCCGAGCATGTAGTCAAGTCAGACAGCTCCAGTAAACTGGCCTTTGTTGTAGAAAGGACCTTTTGGATCATCAGTGCCAGTGGATATCCGTTCGCAAGTGACTTACTTGATAAAACAAAGGAATGTACAGTAAATAAAGCCAGAAAACAGGTGAGAGAGTGAAGTGCTGGGTGACAAGGTGCTCGACGCCCTTCTGCATTTTTACAATTACCTTCTTCAGCATTAGTGTCTTCCTCTTCTGCCTCCTCTTCCACTTTCTCCAACACTGAAGAAAACCAAAACGTGATTTCACGTCACAATCTGAATCACATTTTTGATCTGCATGAGCTGAATTTTATGTAAAAAAAACCTATTATTTCTCTAAACTTGTCCGATTGTGGTACCGAAAAGATTCAAAGCTGAAGGGCGGTCGGTCTCAGTGACCCCGAAAAGCAATCAGGTTTACTGTTCCAGCTGATCACTGGGCTGAATACATGGGAGGCGATAAAGCTGGCACCACACCTGGTTTCTCCATGCTCTGGGGGATAACACCCGTTTTGTCTTTGATTGGCAGGAGATGAATAACTTCCTTTTCCTCCCGTTTCTGCATCTTTCTTGGCATCTTCTCATAGTTCTCGACCACATTGTCCAGTTTGCGTTTCTTGCCATGAACGGGTGCGCTGCAGATTCACGTTAAGGGAAACAAAAAAGAATGACTGGGACGTCTGCTCCACGTTCTTGGCTAAGGAAAGCGGCTCTGTTTATGCATTGATAAACAATACTGCTAAACAATAAACAATATCAGTACTGCTGATAGAACACAGTTCTCCTCTCTTCTTGTTATTATTGGTTTTTACTGTTACCAAAAAGCCAGGCAACTAAAACAATTTAAATAAAAAGACTGTAACGTACTGAATTGAAATGCAAAAAATTAACAGTGCACCTATTCTGGCCACTGTTACCTTTGTCTCGGTTGTATCATAAGGAACAGATAAAAGGCAGCAGCATTAGAACTTGGCAGCCTGCAGCACAAGGTCTTGATAAGCCAGTAGGGGCCGTCCTTCCCAATCAAGCCTCTGTAAGGCGACAGGGGGGGGCCTGAGCTGTAGGATGTGCTGGCCTTCAGAAGTGATGTCAAACCGAGGTTTCATCGACATGGTCTTTAAAGATCCCCTGACACCGTTGTTACAAGTAGGCAAAATTCCACTCTAGCTTTGGAAGTCTGACCTCCTTAAAGATCCCCCTTAATTCACTTCGTGTAGATTCCTAACTCCTCCAGCTAGTCTGCTGTGAAGTAGGATGCAAAGTGACAGAAAGGTGGATGCTGCACTTCATTGGTTGATAGAGAGGTCCCCTGCAATCTGAAAAGCACTCCAGAACACTTCAGGTTGAAAACCCATAAATACACTGACTTCTTAACTGATAACAAATTATCATCTTATAAACTGAAACACAAAAGATGACAAACTCCTTGCTCAAATACTTCCTTACAGGACAGTGCTGAAATACCTCCAGGGAAATCTAAATTGAGCCAAAGGCTGCAATGGTGCAGGTGTTCATGGTTTTGCTTTGTCATGTAACTCAGACAGGACTCAAGCACTCTTACCAGGAGGAGAGGTCTCTTGTGAGGAAGGAGGCTTTCCGGGCCAAGGCCTTCATCTGCTCCAGGTCGTCTTCCTCCATCATGTCCACCGGGAGGGTTTCCTCAAACTCCTCATCTTCCTCTTCCTCTGTTTAAGAGAGCCAGCATTGGTTTCTTTCAGGACACCTCACGGGACATTTGCAAAACGCCACCAGGCTAAGGTGAAGTGTGGGCAAATACATCACATAAATCAATTCAATTCATTCTTGCAGTCCTGGCAATGCCATTACAGTATGTTGTTTAGCCAGATGACCCTTCTCTTTTGTCCCACCTTATACTGTAATACCATGTTTAAAGAGAGGGTCATGGTTTTGCCAAATAAAGTGAGAAACAATTACTGGTGCACTAACTCCCCAGTGCATAAAGTGTTTTGAAGTCAAGCAACGGGGAGAGAACTGTATCTCCATCCTTTTCAGGTTCTGCCAAGTCTCATCTGACATACACGTGTGACAAGCGGGTCTACTCTGCTCTGATTCTATCACTGTGCCCTGTTGTTGTTGTTATTATTATTATTAGCGCGCAAGTAAACCTGAGAATCGGAAAGCCACTGACGGAGCAGAGCTATCCGGGTCAAGGGAATGGGCCACTCGTGGCTGAAATAAGCCCACCCGGTCGAACAACAGTAAGAAACGTCCCACACCTGGTCTTTTCTTGTACCGTTCCAGTGGGGCGGGGATTCGGCTGGACGCATCTTTCAGGGACTGTCGGAGCTTCTTCTGCTCCTTGCGGTACTTCTTCGCGCTGCTCTGCTGCTTGAACTGTCGGTTCTTCAGTTTGTTTTCAATCTTGAGGTTGCTGGTTTTCAGCAATTTGCGAAAACTTGGGGTTCTCTTCTTACTCCTCCTCTGCCGTGGACAGGTGGAAAGTCAATCAAGTTAGATCAAAGAACCAGTGTCCTAAATGTTTTGGGGTTTTTTAACACACAGCTCACTTACAGTCTATTAATTTTAGCATTAACAAGAATGAAGCCATCCGTCAGGACAAGTTTAAAAACAGAGAAATGACGTGTTGTTGCGAACAAAAGCACTTGGAAACTCTAGCAAAAAAAATAAATAATTCAAGACGTCAACAATTTGGTAGCAGGCAGTCAGGGACGAGCATATTCTGAACAAAATTGTGTTCATGAACATGTCGCGTTAAAAATTATAAAGCCAAAAATGCGATGTTGGGAGTTATATTGCTTTATTTAGAATATTTTATCAAGTTTAAATTTAAACTACAAACAATTACAAACTACAAATTACAAAGAAAGTAACTTACCGGTCCCATCTTGCATTAAAAGTCCGAACCAAATATTGTGTTGAACAACTTTCAGATATCTAAAAAAAGACTATATTAATTTAACAGATCCTCTTATCACTAGTTTATAAAATAATACCTCACAATACATTCTATTTAATAGAAACCATAATCTGAAAACTAAAACAGATTTAAAGAAATTGTTTTTTTTCTCATTTTAAATGAGGAAAACCACACGTGCGTTTCCTAACTCTACAGGAAGTAATGATGTCGTCAAACCACAGAAAGAAAAGTACGCCTCCTTTCTTTATGGTTTTTCACAGCGCCATCAACCGGTAAGGATGACTTTATTTACGAGGCGATAGATGTATTGGAATTGAGAAAGACGAAATATTTCTTTGAGGTTTATGAATATGTACATGCACTAATACATTCCCATCCATGTAACAGAAATCTGCGTGTGATTGATCCGTGGTAAAATTTAACAGCGATTACCTTAAACTCACAAGTATTGCAAATTATTTAGTTGATAAATTGATTTTTCACAAACAGAAGCAGTAAGTTCTGAAGCAGGAAACCATATTTTTTTGCAACTGAAACAGAGATTCAATATTGTAACGCAACGGGGTTCAGGTGGGGGCCCCTGGGTCGGACCCCCACCGTCGGAGGCTCGAGCCCTGGACTCCCGCGTCATTCAACAGGGACCCAGCCCGGTGAGCTAAAGAGAGATCTCTCTACAGCCCAGTAGCTGTAGTCTTGCTATCACAGGGTAAGCCGGCTCTTACCCACCCTGATGGCCGTATGCGTTACATTATATTCAGAGGAGTTTGTAAGAGTGGATCAAACATCCAATTCTTATTTTCTGTTGGGAAGCGTTAATGTTCTATTAGGGAAAAACTAAAACAACCTTTAACTTCCAACGCCGGAAATTACATTTAAATCTGGACTCCAAAGGCTTAAGAAATTAAGTACTGTTTCATGTTTTTCTGTGCGTGTTTGTGCTAAAAGTGAATAGGATGTTCATCGCAGCTGCATAAACAATCCCTCAGATGTAATCAATTACTTAGATGTGGAGAAACATCCTGAAATCACGTACACGAGTTTGATAAAGAGAGCTGATATGTTTGTTTAGTAGGAAAAAGAAAACACTGCAACACATTTTGCTTCAGAGATTTATTTACACATGGGAAGTGTAACTAGTGGTTTTATAACAAGGCAAAAACCCATCTATTTACAATCAATTTTATATACAGTACCTGTGGTAAGTATGAAAAACTGTACATTAGAAAGCAGGAGTAGAAAAAGAAAAAATGCAGACTTAATGTACGGCTATATAAATTAAAATAAAAATAAAAAGTAGGGATGCAAAGTTAGATAAAGCTTTAAATAAAAGAAAACAGCAACATAAAATCCCAACATAAAATCCTTATGTGTGGTCAAGTTAAATGAAGATACAATAACATGAATAAACAGATGACTATATAAAAACAGGTCATGCTTCGGCTAAGTGAGTGTTATGTTGCTTTTTTTAAATATGACAATATTTCAAAATCAAAATGTAACCTGTTTTTAAAATTTACCACACTGAGCGTGTAAAAAGAACTCAGGGTGTTAATGCAAAAAGAGTTTATAGTTTTTTACATTTACCATCAAAGCTGTACTGTTGTAACCATTCTATTTGGAGATGGCAACCAAAGCAACTTGAACTTCTGTTCCAAACTCAGTGAAAAGTGATGCAGAAACCCGCACCCTGTAAATCACCGAGATTCCATGTGCCCGTTCGAGTTCACTATTGCACTTCATAAAGATACACAGTTTCTGTAGAACAATTTCACGTGCACAGCTCACACCAGGGGAGAATATATATTCATGAAATCACATTCCAAGGATTCACCGGTAATCAGTACTGTCTTTCTTAGTCTTATCTAGATTCACACTCCTAAGAACATGAATGTAAAATGGATAGCACCTTCAAGTACCTGGGAAGCTCAGCACAAGCAGTGTCAGAAACTTGCCATTTCATTTCCTTGCTCACCATAAATAGTGTTTATCATCAGGAATGTCCCTGAAATAACTGGTACTGTGGTTATAAGTGCAATGCAAGTAAAAAGACATTTTTTTACGCTTCTCTTGCCTAGGTCTTATAGATTATTAATTCGTTTCTATACAATTATTTTAACAAGTTAAAAAAGATAGATTTTGTAGTGAAGATTTAATTGATTTGGTCCATAAATCTTGATTTATTTTTTTTTGCTGGTTTGTGGATTGCTGGAGTATATTACACTTTGTGAAGTGATTTTCAGTTTTTTTTTCCCATAAACAAACCCACAGGAATTATATCTGTTGCCTGCACAACTTGAAATTCAGTTTATCTGTAAAGCACACTTTTGACAGCTGGGAACTGTTCTTGCATTTACTGTAGGCCTGCTTAGCATTGTAATTTCCAAAGAATGTGTCCTCCCAGTTTTTATCTTCCACTGAGTCAGTAAGAAACTAACCCCCAGCAGACATTAATACTGGCTATGGTGTTAGAGGTTTTCCTCAAGTATTGCTTCACAACCTTTTGGTGAAATTGACTAAGTAAGTTTTCATTGTCAACTCCGTTCTAGTCTTCTGTCACAGTTGTTGTAAAGGAAATTTTAGAGGAGTATGCATTTTTTTAATTGTTTCATGTGTACCACAACATAACCTTTTTAACTTTTTTGTGCTGGGCTGTTGTTCTTGTCCAGTTCCTTGCTGTCCTTCATCAATGCAGTAAAAACCTAATAAAGATAAGGATGATTTAAAAAAACGTTTTGAGGTTTGTTTCCAGTACTTTTTTTCTAGTGAAAAAAACAAATTTAAAGTTACATTCCCACATTTAGTTGATGATTGGGAAACCATTTTTCTTCATATGCAATTGTGTTTGTATTCAGTAGAATTTTTTTTATTGTAGCTGTTAAAGACGTCCTCTAGGTGTTGCTCTTGATCCTTTCTAAGGTGAGTGGTTAAGCATTTATGGCACGTTTCATTCTATTTGAGTAGCACTAATTTTGAACTACCCAATGTTAATTTTGGTACACTGATCTAGGCCTATGATTAATCACAGTTTGTAAAGCCAGACGTTAATCTCCTATAACTATATACTTTTCAAATTGCCTTAGGACTTCATGCATACATAATGTAGCAAAAAGTACAGTTTAAATAAAATTGAATCCCAATTGTTAGTATTAAAGTATTAAGTTTATTTACTGTGTTGAATACTAAGTGTAAATTGTACTGATTTCTAACACTTAGATAATCGTCATATGCACAGAAAAGTCTTACTAATATTACTGTTTATGCAATGAATTAGCAATAGTGTTTCATATTTTTAAGCCAAACAGAAAAAGAAAGAAGCTTGTGTTTATGATATACAGTACTGGGAGCAGCTGTAACTTACTTGAATCCATTTTTTATTACTGCTTAACATCTGGACAGCTGCAATGCAGCTGAAGAGCTTTTCAGAAGTCGTTTCCTCAGGAAGTCTGGTCAAGAACTGAGCTATGTGTATGAAATCCATCTGAAGGAGGATGTCTTCGTACAACTTGAGAATTCCCAGACCTGTTCGAAACAGAAACTCCTCTCCATCCCGGCAAAAGACATCCCAGACTCGACAGGCTAAATCCAGAGGCAAGGATTTGCTGTATAGTGTAAAAATCCTTGAAAATAGACAGAAAAAAAACACAACAGACAACAGAAGGATTACTAAAAACTGATAAAGGCCTAATCACATTCCTTCAATTAATTCCTTGCATTAATATTGCACTATTCATCCACAAGTATTCCCAAGTGCTTTATAGACAGGATAAGGTCCACTGTATCTATTACTGAGGTGCAGTACCTTCTTGGGTGACTTGTGATAGACATAATGTACCTATAGACCCAGTACACAGCAGAACAATTGAAGAAGAAAGTGGAAATCAGATTAGCTTCTGAGCTCTCACAAGATCAGGCTCCAAGATGTGAATGCTAGTTCACCATTACTAGCAAAGGCCTCAGACAAGTGACAAGTGTCACTGATTTTCAAATGACAGCTACCTGACGTACTACGTTATTGTATCATTGGTATTTCACCATCTTTTGACACTGTACTTACCAGTCAATAAGATAGAGGTCAGGGGTAAGGTTGTAACTCTGAAAGTGAGCAAATAACCTGGGAAGATTTTCATCAAAGAACACTTCAAATGCAGCAAAGTATTTCAGCATCTGCAAAATTAAGAGTGGATAGCACATTTAATTTTTTTTTTATTTTAAAATGCAATATTCGATACATTGTGTGTCATCTTTGTCCCACTTACATTACATGATTTTTGACAAGGTAATATTGCTTTCCAATGATTATTGAACAGTTCTACTTGAAATATTTTAAAAGTCAAATGGACTGCTAAAGATATATCATCGTAGATGATTAGCAACAGGTGCTTGCCTTAAGTACAAATTTGCACAAGTGGTATATCCTGATCAGAATGTCTTTTACCATCTCCAAAGAATGCTGAATAACTGGTTGAGTTGCAACACAACATTTTAAAATGTAATGATAATTAGAAATTATACACTTTTAGTCATTAATAGATAGCTGGGCTATTCTTTTATATACATACAATAATATATACTAAATATATACAAATGTAAATAAAATATATACAGTACATATTTTTTAAAATCTTGTATTATATCTAATACCTCAAAAGAAAACTGATAGTAAAGCCTTATTTTTTTTTAAATGAACAAAGGGATACTAGCTGACGGGAGAACAATACACAAAGAATGGTCTGTAACAATGGCATCTTTATTAAATGAAATACTTCATTATAAATTACCAAGTCATGATCAACTCTGAAAAAAGCCATTTGACAGGGCTTGTTGAGAAGGTTGGCAAAGGCAATAAATGCATCGGCTTCTTCCAGGTTAAGGATTAGCACAGCAGCAATGAAGGACATCCCTTGTACCTGAAATGAATGAGCAAGAGAAGTTTCTTTCAACACATTATTAAAACAGACAACAGACATTTAGTGCAAGCTGGACTGTGACCTGAATCTAATTGCTTTGATAAAATATTTTGTCTCGTTTGTACAAAATGTTTTTTTCCGCATTAAAAGCATTATTGACAGACTGATAGTTTCCACACAACTCCCAGTAAAGATCAAAAGCATCAGAACGCTGCACACAAAGCTTAGTAAAATACATGCAAATGTTGAACCTACAAAGAGCACTCTACTTATGTCTGATGTTCTATGTACTTTGCTGTAGTTTTTTGTACTTTTCTTTTTATTTAATTTTTCTTTACACTGTCAGACATATGTATATTTTTTCACAATATACTTACATATCCAACATCAGGCCTGTAACAGGTATAGGCCCCTAGTACACTATGCAAAAGATCATGGTATGGACCACCCTATAACAAAGAATGAGTTAACATTAGTTTTAATTAGCAACTAATGGAGGAACAACAAGAATAAAGCTACAGACATGCACGTTTTCTTACCTTCTGAAATATGAAAAGAGAGGGAAAGGTTCGGGATATATCCAACTTTATCAACTCCAGACTTGATTCTCTGTCCGCAAGCGACACTCCTGAATCTAAAATTGAATAATATACAAAAAGCTCTCTCTCAGCTGCTTTCATTTTAGGCTTTTCGAAAGAACTTTGCTTTTGATGCAAGCTGGACTATTCCTGGAGGCTACAGACACAACGCTAGGTACCAACGCAAGGCCCATCTCTGAACAAACCCTGTCAATGCAAGCTTTCGAGTTCCAAGACTCCAGTACCGTCAAATCCAAGTCCAAGTCAAATGATTGTTAGATGTTTCTGCGCACGCTGTTGTTTTTACAATTTGGTGCAATGGCTTTTCTTTAAATTGTGCCTACTCAAATATTATCCAGCTCAGAAGCAGCCATCAAGTCTATCTTTGTTTCATGACGTGTATGAAACACCATGGCTCATATTTTGAGGGATTCTAACTGGCAAAAACAATCTGTCTCAGATGAACTGCAGATGTTTAAAAAAAAGGAAGGAATGAGTAATTACTGGCAAGAACACTATTTGACTTTCTTTTTTAAATACATGGTTTTCAAATACATGGTTTATGCTGATGCATGAAACAGATTAAAATGCCAGACTGCAAGCAGAAGACTGGATAGAAGATGCCCAGTGTAAATATTGACCAGGATAAACTGTCTAAACAAATTTTCCAACGAGTTAAATATAACTAGTGCAGTATAAAGTCTGAGACAGAAAACCACCGAAGCAACAATGCTGACAAACTTTATTTGAGAAGAAATTCTTTTATAAGGTTACCTAAAGACAAATCGTAATGCTGTTCTTCATCAAAACCTAATTCATGTCCCATTTTAGAGTAAAAAAAATGACCCCTTACCCTCTGCTTCATTTTCTGATCCTGTTTCACTGAAACTCTTCCATCGTTCCTTAGCTCTGGACAGAAAAATTTCATACAGCTCTGAGGGAAGCACACACAAAAAAAGAAAGGTGTGAGCATATAAAACCCATTATCATACTAGGTTTTGTAAACAATTTTCACCATTATTAGATCTGAGTATGTACAGCAGCGAATCAGTATCAAAAACACTTCTTTTGAGGCTTTATTTTGTGATATCAGGAAATGGTTCTACCTTCTTCTCTCAAAAAATGCATCAGCACTTTTTTTGCAAACTCCACTGATTTGAAAATGACAATTGCTGAATAAACTTATATGAATGCTACAACCCTTGTACCAGCTAGTGGGCAAGGAGAACAGTGCTTGTTCCAAACGCTGTCTGTTGTGCTCTGCAACCTTGGCAGTGGTTTACAGGAGAGCTCTCCTTCAGTGCACCTCTCTCTGACACACTGCAAGCCTCAGGGCCCTCACTGCCCCAGCTAGCTCCACACCACAGCTTAAGCAATCCTTGTGACACAGCCCAAGCTCATAGGCGGAGGAAACTTTGTTCTCAACCTGCACTCAACCATGCAGAAAATTCATTGCTTTCTAAGATTATTTAAGATTACTTATAATAATCGCCTGTTTTCGTACAGCACTTTTCATCGTTTCACACATGGGAGGGGAGCCATTTCATTCACCAATGAAACCAAAGTGTAACACCACCTACAACAATGGAGACGCAAGAATTTCCTGCACCTGAATTAAGGGAGAAATTTAGGAAGGCCAGACTGAGTAAGCTCAGAATGTAATTTAACCACAAGACCAGGGTAATACCCCTACACTTCTAAACTGTGCCATAGGATATTCTCCCACTCTTTGTCATATATTCAATTGAATTTAATTCAACTTTATTGTCATTATACTTACACAGGTGCATAGTAAAATGAAAAGTGTTTCTCATTAGTCACTCAGGTGCAGTATATAAATAGGACAGAAGATAAGACAATAGACAGTAACACAATAGCAATAACAGTAACATGTAATAACATAACATAAATAACATGTAATCAAAACTGTGCAAAATTCTGCAGAGAAAATATAACAGGACAAAAACAGTGCAAGGTAATTCTTGGAACAGTGCAAAAATAGTATGGTTAATTAATAAATATTACGACAGATAGGTCTCCCATCCTAGTACTGACCAGGCCCAGTCTTACTGAGCTTCTGAGAGCAGATCACATCTGACTACAATGAGCTAATACTGCTCTGCTATCGAGATCATAATTTACCAAACACCACTACACAAGAATATGTGTCATTTTATCACAAAGGTATAAAGCATATTTAAATATTTGTAATAGTACTAAATTGCTGTGATTAGCAAACACAAGTATCTATTTTTTCTTTCTCTTCTGAACACATTGTGCTAAAAGCTTTGATGCAAATTAAAAAGAATGCTGTGTTCTTTAACTAGATAAATGGGAAATGATGGCCCGATAGTCAAGTAGCTCCTCTAATTTGGCCTTGATGGACCACTGACACCGATACCTCTCAATCGGATGAAGTTATGCACCACTGCAAAGCCCTATCAATTTAATCAAATGCTTTTAGGTACTAAATTTGGCTACCCACAATTGCACATCTTTTGGAAATATTTTAAAAACAGCACTTCACCACAAAAAGGCTTTGTGTAAGTATGAAGAAGAAATTGTATTCCAACTGGTAGATTATATTTCCCTTCTGGTTTCAAATTTTTATATTGATTTTTCTCTCAGAAACCAATACCCCATTAAAAAATCCTTACCGTGTGTAATATTTAGTTCATTTCCAATGGCCAGACTCCAGACTTTGCCACGGACACTAGGGGGCAGTCCTTGCCACCAGAGCTCTCTGACTTTTCTTGTATTGCGCCTGCCAACGAACACACAGAGCTGTTCAAGAAAACTGTACAAAAGGCTGCAGCTTCATCCACAGACCCGTGACCAGATACACACTCACATGGTTTCCCAGTTTGGGAGGATCTCAGTGTTCCAAATCACCATAGCGTTCGCAATGATTTCCTCCTGCTTATACCTCTCTTTCATTATTTTCTTCTTCTTCTGTGCCTCTTTCATCTCTGTGGCAGAAACAAAAAAAAAAAATACCGACAGGCTACAGACCAACTAAAAAGTTCTCAGAGACCACAGAACGAACAAAAACAACGACATACCTCTTTTCTTGGCCTCGGCCACCATCTCGTCGTACTCCTGTCGATGGCGCTGTGCTTCTACAGCTGACTTTGCAGGCAGGTTTCTGTAAGAAAGACAGCTATTCTTCACGAGGGGTCGGTCAATCTGAATTAACGATAAAGGACACAAAATGCAGCAGCCACCAATAGCTCTGCAATTTCTATCCTGTTTCAGCAGAGCAGCTATCGGGTATATACAGTACATTTCTACTCTGGTGCCTTTAAGCCGCCTTCCAAAAAATTGGTTTGAACAGCTTCATAAACAAAAGAAAGTCAAATAAAGAAGCACGGAAACATACGGTCAGGTGATTTTAATGCTTCTCTGGTGAAACATATAGACTACAGGAATAGAAACGGGATTCTATTTCAGACTAATAAATTCTTTATGAACTCTGAAGCCTGCCAACAAATGAAACAGATGACCCACTGTTTTGAAGTGGACCGTAAGAAATAAAACTACCCTGCTTTTGTCATATATTTTGTAGCAGCACTCTTTTTTGATGGCTGTTCCTCTGTCATCACCAACAGTTACAGTCTCTGTTAATCTGAGTCAGCTGAATCAGTAGCCAAGAGTTACTGTTGAATACCGTGTACCTTTGTTCTAGGAGAAATCCTAGATTCCCTGTTAATATTCAGCGATAGGCGACAGTGAGAATATACAATTTCAGGCCAACTCACGCAGGGCGGTCTTCCAGAATAAGTGCTGTAGTTGAAAGTGGTTCAAACTCCAGGTTTTTGCGCCTTCCTGGCTGAGGAGGGGGATTGGATGCCTTTCCGGTCCGCGCTTCATATTCCTGAATAAACGGCAAAAACTTAGCAAAGTTTCCGCACAAAAAAACACACACGACCTGCAACACATTTGCCCCCCGTATTTGCTGCCTACATTTTTGCAAATGTTGGATGTTGACATTTACAAGTCAAATGTATGAAGCTGCAAGGTTTCAGCTCACGCCAGATAAAGCACAGTGACAGGAAGGTAATTTCTTAAGATAAATTACAGATAAATAATACTTTGAACATTTCAATCAAGTTTTCTTTTACAGCAGATGTCCACTGGGAAAACTTGGGAAAGCTTAAAGGAAACTTGGAAGAGAAAAAGACATTGCTTAGCTGACACTCTATTTTAATTTTAAGATTACAGTCTATTTATTCTTTATTTTATTTCATAATGTATTCTAATTGTTTTAAAAGTTGACAAAGGAGAGACTACAGTATAAGATTGTTTTACATCTTTTCAAAAGAGTAGAATGTATAAATAAAAATAATTCTTGGAAAAATCAGACAGGAACTGCAAAATAAATCAGGCCACAATGACTAATAATAATAAAATTCATAATAAACGCGTCACATCATTCTTAGATTTAAACAGACATTCTTTTAGTGTTCTTGTGCAACAGTCTGCACAGACTGAAACTTCTTTGAAATCTACAGAGAACACGTTGAACTGGCATTCCTGTTGCAAACTGCACAGTGTCCTCCAGAATAACATTTACCAGGGGTAAAGTGAGAAGAGACACGGGCAAGGCTAAATTCTGTTACTGTGGCCAGCCATCCCTGCGCAATTCTGTCTTATCTGCAATGTTATTCTGCAGTTGTGTTAATATTCATTAAATTGTTGGTACAAACTTGGGTCTTCTGAAGTGAAATGGAGTCAGTTCCATTTGAAAGATTTCACCTAAAAACTATTTTATTTCTAAGTTTTCACACTGTGCTTCATATCAGGTACATATTGTAAGCTTCAATTACAAGACATATATCCAGCCTTGGAACATTCCCAAAGAAATGCTAGAGTCAAAACTGGCAATGACGACAGAGCTAGATCTGTATCAATACAAGTTAGCCTACATCTCACTTCCTCTAGAGAGACATTTTATTAGTTCCTAAAATTCCTGTCATTGCTATAGAATTGCACACAAAGGCTACCAATGTTGCCAAAAGGGAACAAGAGCTTTCAGCAAAGATGACATACTAATTTACTACCACAGAACCCTCAAGATTTAAACAGGCTGTTCATTGCATCAGTACAGCATTTCTATTCAAACGGCAGGGAGCTCTGCTACTGCAAACATGTAGCTCTGTATTTAAACAATACAGTATTGGTTTTATTTGTGCCAGTTACTGCTCTGAATACATGGAAACCATTTATCACTCAGTTCACCATTCAAATAGAATAGCAGCCTTTCACAAGGCAAAATACTAAGCATTTTGCAGTTACCACTCAATAGTAGCACTGTGTGGATGAAACACACGATAGGATATTACCCAATGCAGTTTATTGGACACCCTAAAGTATTAGATTGTGAAATCTGCAAGGGAAGAACTTAAGAAACATTTGATAAATTCCCATTTGTATAAAGGAATGTAGTTTTAGTCTAGGTCACAGCCTTTGCCCACATGAATGGAGGGATTCAATTTGTAGCCACCTAAACTGAGCCTGCTTTCAAGACAGCAGATCAATTTATTGTGCATTACATTCTGGACACATCTTACTGTTAAAGAGCTTTGTGGTATGTGAAATATGAGGAAAGCCAAGTAAATGTATTTTTTGTTTTAAGAATAAAACTTTTTGGGGGTATTGAAAAGGTAATCATAAAATAAGTGATTACAAGTAACAGCTTCAAATTCGACTCCCAGTAAGATCAGATTTAAATGTTTCAAGCTAAAACAAGCTTTGCCTCTGGGTATCTGGTTGGAGAGATTCTCCTTCAGCAACAGATGTAATAATTGAGAGCACCTGAAACTACAACATTTCTACTTGTGGCCTTCTGCTGCTGTTAATCACTGAAATCAGATTTACTGAAAGTAAACCATTAGTCATAAAAGCAATTTCACCAATTTCCTCAAGCAGTAATTAGAACACTACTGTGCATTTCAGAACTTTTTTCAGACAATCTTATTAATATACTGTTTCCTATTTACACACAAGGCCAAATCACTGTTCAAACAACATTGTACATCATGTCATCCATTTTCCTAAATGTAGTATTTATTTTAATATCGCTATTTGTATATTTATATTTTATTCTGTTGTCACGTGAATGAATCCAAGTACAAAAAATTATGTTGTTTTCTAAAACACAGAAAACGCCATCTTTTATGATATGTAATTAAGGTTCTAATGATGGAAATATTGAATTTTTTAAAACAAAGTTGTTTAACTTTGCTGTAATTTTATTAGTTAAATCTAAGTACTTTAGTCCATTCTATGCAAAAAGATCTAATGCAAGGATTTAGGGTCCCTGGTGGCTTCCTACATAAATGTTAAAACTTACTGTATAGAAAAATAAGAGTCAGATAAGTCAACAGGTCTCAATTGTAAGTGAAGTAACACCTATCCGTGAAACAATTCTGCACGCTTTTATCAGTCCAGGTCTGGAAAGGATGAAAAACAATGGTATTTGCAGTTGCTGCTGAATCAGTTAAGAAATTAGTGAGCAAGACCAATATCTTGTTTAAAAGTGCCACTGCTTAAAGAGCACGTATAAGTGTTCTTAGATTCCCTAGCCTATGTTTGCATTTATTGCATGCCTGGGACTATTTCATTTTCCTGACCTTCCAACCCTGCATGTGCTCCAGCCCAGAGGATTAAATACTAGAGTGCAGGATTCTAGCATGGATACAATTTCCTCTGCATCTTTTGTCACTCTCTGCACTTTCTACAGCACAGAAATGTCATGTACAGAAAGGCAACTTTAGCGGCCATTTTCTGTACATGTTAAATTTAAAACACCTGTCTTTCTTTGCAACACTTTCTTAGTTTTTTCTGTGTAAGGCCTACCAATTAAAAACGCTTACCTTGACAGTGACGTCAGGCCGTATTTTGGCCAATGAAGAAAAAAAAAACAAGAACAAGCACAGACAGAATGGGGGCAAAGAATGAGACCTTGTGCTGAATGTGGTCAGAGAATTGAGGGTAACATAAGTTCAATATATGCAATGAAAAGAGCAAGCTTTGCTGATTTTCTGTTATTAGGTGGCAGTTTTTCCTTTGAACAATGTTATACTTTTCATGTTAGTGCCATGACATTTTCTCATGCTAGTATGAAAATGCGAAGTGCAGACAATCAGTAGGTGGGCTATGAAAATGATCGCTTAGCGGTACCATGCATACAGCAGGTTGAAAGATGACTGTAAAAAAAGACAATAAAATTCCATACCCCTGTGCTTAACAGATTTGGTGTAGATACAGACGTTAGATTGCCTGGGTTACTGTCCTGATGGAAAAAAACACAGTTTGTACTCAGTCAGTAAAGCATTGAGAAAAGAACAAAAAAACAAAAAGAAAAAGAACTCTAAGTTTAACTTTCCTTTGAACGAAAAACAAAAACATCGACAAACAATGCTGCAGACATGCCCTAAAAACATGACATTATTTTGAAGGTGATTTTCTTGGTCCCTATCAAAATAAACTGGTATAAACCATCCTAGGAGGTACGAGCTACATTGGGCGAGCAGACCGTTTTCTTAACTCCTATAATTTTACCTTTACAGGGCCAAAAGGCCAGTCCGATACTTCACTTTAATAATCATCTACAGTGCTATCTTTAAACGCGCTCTACTAAGTAAACCTGCCAGAACTACGTAACTGTTACATTTACAAATAAGGAAAACAAAGAAAAGAGAATTATAATCATGCTACACTGTAATATGTGATCCTGTTGTAGCCTGGGAAGAAATGGCAACAAGTATAAAAAGCTGGGTGGGTATTTATTGATAAGAACTACATCCATGACACAGCAGTAACTACGGCATAAACCGGTTTTCAATTAAAACTCTACTTGAGAACAGGATCCTACTGACCAGTTAAAGTCCTTCTTAAACCTGTTGCACAGCAACTGGCAAGCATGGGGAAGGGTGTCACCTGGATAGGAAATCAGGTGGCTCACTGCATTTCAGCAGCGGGAACTGGTTTGAGCCCACCTCATGCAGCGCACACTGCTGATGACTGTTTGCTCAGGAAGCCTCACACGGGCCTCCGCGTCTCGCTTTTTAAGTATTCTGCTTTTTAAGATGTAAAGGTACACGTGGACAAAAAACATCTGTTGATAGTATCTGTTCAGTACACATGGAGTAATACTTGATGCTGCAGACTGTTCAAAAGAAGGGCAGGAAATAAGAATAAAACGATCCCTGTGGAGGAAGGAAGCCCTGCGGGTGGGATATGGGCTGGCCAGCGTGCAGCAGCCACGGTCACTTCCTGCTGGGGCGAAAGCACAGCCAGCAGCTGCAGCTGGAGAGTAGCCTGCCAACAGGCTTTCAAACCTGCTGACCCTGGGCCTTTCATTCCACACAGCGAGGAGGGGCTGCCAGAAACGTGGGGCTGTCACTGCAGCTGAAGAAGCAACAAATGGAAACTTCTTCAGCTGCAGCGCCTGGAAGCCCGGACCCAGAAACGATCCAATCGGAATCTAGTCAATAAGGGCCTGTTAGGTGATGGAAGTGTATTCAGGTGGGTTTTATCTTTATCCCAGAAGCTCCTAACATTCACCTTAAGAAAACTCTTAATGGCTGGAATGGAATCCAACTTAAAGTTACATGTGGGGAGCGAAAATCTAAGCTTTAGCTTGTGGTTCAATTATTTAGAAGCATTCAGCTGTTCCTGGATGTTTTCTGACCTATATATTGCACATACCACATGGCTGTGGAAAAAGGTTTCTAGGAATGGTATTAGTAACTAATGGCTGCCATTTTAAAAAATGTCACAATTTGTCAAAATACTGTAAAATGTTTTGGTGAAACACATTAATTATAATAAAGGTTCTTTGAGATCATTGAATACTTAGGTATCTAAGATCAGGAAAAGCACTTTTAAATGATTAATTTTAATAAGCAACAGTTATTGGACTTCAGTCTAGTCTTTTACTGCAAAAAATGCAAATACAAACTTGTTGACACAAACATCAAACAACAACTCTATCACACCCATAAAATTATAATTTTAAAAATATATATTATTTTAATTGCTAATTTATTTTTTTACAAATATTTTCTCTATAAGTTGCAGAAAAGGATTTATTTTGCAAAGACTGAAGCACATACTGCCTAGTACTTCAGCTCTGTGTGGACTTAGAATGTAACACCAGTCAGACTCCTGCTGTTTGCAATTTAAAGGCAGTTTAGAAAAATGTTCAGAATAAAATTAACCATGAACTTTTAATCAAACACAGGAAACAAACTGAAGCAGTAGCCAGAAAATGGGGGTTATCTAAAGATAAAAGAGACAACAAGCAGTCTTAAAATTGTCTTCACAGCAAATATAAACTGTATGAGAAGTATACAAACCAACCTGCTGGATAGTTTTGGAATCCTTCTGAGTGTTCTCTCTTAGTGGAACTTTTCCAAACAACTTCCATCCAGGAACACTCTGGGATGGAGTTTTAGGCTCTTTACCTTTCCTGGAGAACAAGCTCCTAAGAAACAGAAGAGTAAATGAGATGAGTTATTGCGAGGATGAGTGTGGGAACAGGCAGGGGAAAACAGAACCCAAGGGTGGATTTTAGAGTTCACAGGCTGACGCTGTCATTATTAGAAAGGATAAAAATGTAAAGGATCTCAAAAGAATTTCCATGAGATAAACCACTACTCCATAAAACCGTAGGAAGACAGACAAACATGTTTTACTGAACAGTGACTTTCAAAGCTCTCTAATTAAATGCATCTCCACTGGTAAACTTTGGAATGCCAACAGGAAACTAATGTTACATTGTCCGCATTAAGTTATCATGGAGTAAGCTTACACATATTTATTAAAGGAAACGTGCAGAGAAAAATAGTTGTGTTCAAAGGTATTTTAAACAAGCTGAACCTGTGTTACACTAATTTCTCTCTAGCCTGTGACAGATCTTCACCAATGCAGATGACAGGTTAAGAATAGCAGTTTTAGATCCTAACAAGGAAATAGAAATCCTATCCCTCCAGGAATCCGGCTGAGAAAACAAAATGGACACGTTTTAAAAAGAAAGCAGGAATGATTCAACCACCCTGTAACAGTACTTGTTAACCACTTTTCTTTCTGAATGTTATCAAAAGCAGGGCTCTAATACCATGGGGGTGTATTTACTTCAACACTAGAACATCCAGTTTCCATTATATTACTCCAGATATAGTTCATGTAGTGCAAATTATAAGGCTCTGACTTAATAGTGTTCAACAAGCAGAATCTCCTTATCTTTTCTATGTCTAGAGTAGGCACCTCTCCAGCAGAACAGCGCTGTCAGAGACAGAGGCCATTCATTACCATCACCTCTGCAGCCTACACAGGGCTCCGACACATGTCTAATAGGGAAAGCACAGCAGCGAGCACCATGATAACCAAAGCTAGTGGCCACAAACAGCAGCAGCACTGAGGGGTAGAAGAATTGTGCTTACCATGCTAGCTTCAGGGTGCATGTCAAATCAAGTAAGTAGATAACCAAAAACTATTAATATTGAATTATTCAGTATGCTGCAGTGGTACCATAACTGGAGTTGAACTCCTGTCACACAACAGGTTCTGTGGTTAGGAAGGAACTGCGGAAACACTTTCTTGAGCAGAAATTGAAATATAGACAACACTGTCTGGGGCAATTTTCCACAGCTCTTCCGGACTAGGGCGACAAGAACAAAACTATCCTTTGAAAATTAAAGTACAATGAATGACCCCATTTTTATTCTGTAACTGACACTTTTAAAACTACATTTAGAACATAAATGAAAAAACAGTTGTGGATTTCACAGTCTTTGGGAAATCTCTGCCACCTGTTAAAAGCAACACATCCTCACTAGGTGTCATATCGCGGCATTTTAGATGAACAGGTGCCTGTTATTCTATTCTATAACCGATCTTCATCATACAGTAACTGCTCCAAATAGTCAGCGCGTATACTCAAGAAAAGAACAGGTCCTGAAAGCATATACTGTTTCTAAATCTCAAAATCCTAATGCAAGTCTGTGCTATTGTTATGTGCCATCATCCATAAGTTTATTAAGGCCCAATGTAGATATGATTACAATGTAGGCATATTAATTATCATTTATTAGAATAGACAAAATACCGCTATACTTGTAATGCTAAAGTATATCCTCTTAAATGTACTGTATTTTCAAGAGACTCCAAAAAGCAAATGTACTTTAATGTTGATATAAATGTTATTAATATTTTATTATTTACAGTACTTACAGCACTGTTTTGACTGATGAAAGAAAAAACATTTCCAGATTCAAGGTCCCCAAACATGCAACGAGCCCTGTGATACTCTGTGGTTCATACTGTACATGACTGTAGGCTACGTATTTTACATTTACAAAACCACAGAAATAAAAGGCATCTGATATCGTATCTTCAAAGCTTCAACGAATATGCAAGTTACAAAAACAAAAAAAACACATAATTGATTAACCTTGAAACAAAAACCACATGGTTCAGTGCCATTATTAAACATCTGACAGGAATTTTCTGTATCCTTCAGCTCTTTCCATTACAGCATTTAATAACTGTGTTTGGTTAACTATTTTCTCACTGTAGTTACCAGATGAAATTCATGAAGCCTGCAGTGAATGCCTGACTTAAAAGAGCTAAAAATAATACACAGGTTATCCAAACAAGTGAACATATTGTTCTTCAGTCAAAAACCTTCAGATAAAATTGTTGCCCATGACTAAAACATAACCAAGGACAGATTTCAAAGGTTCTAGCTTCCCTGCATAATTTGTTCTGCTTCACCTGCCTCCAACTTAAAGCACAATTCCCAAACATTTAAAACGGGACGTTCTCTTTTTGACTTTTATTGTCTGCTGTTAGATTTGCACCTTTAGACATTTGAGCAAATGTTGTTCTGATGAAACTACGCTTTGAAATTCAGCGTTTACATCTGCGCCCCTTAAATACATTTGGCTATGCTGCAGAACAACAAGAGCTGCACTTCACACAGTCAAGAGTTTAGTTTTACAGTTTACAGCTTTACCCAAAACAATGACATAGAATGGAAAAGAAGATTTAATAAAAGTTAATAACTGTAATTAATAGCGTCTTTAACAGACCAAAAAGGCATATTTGTCACAAATGAACATTGATTTGCATGTGGATATACCATATAACATTCTGCACAAAACCAATTCTAAAGAATGAACAGCCAGGGATGGCAGTTGATTAACCACACAGCCTTGGGTCATAAACTGCTCTAAACAAGCCAGAAGATCAGCCTGAGAACAACAAATGTTAGTACAGCACAAGACATTAGGCATATGACACCGGGGATGGCTTAAAACAACCTAAGAAAGAACCTTTTCTCTCGGACTCGTACAGGATTTAAACAGTTTTCCATACAAGCCTCTGGCACGAATCATATTATTCATATGTTCGGGAGGAGAAATAAATCCCATCCAAAAATTTGACCATTAAGTTGTAGATTAAAATCTAATTATTAATATCAATTCAGGCAATCCACTGACAAATTTGTCATTTAAAAACAACCCAACCTCTAGTTCTTGAAATGTTATAATTTGCATTAAATAATATTGGAATGGAATAATACCTATTTTTCCATTTCGTTTTTATTGTCATTTTCAACAGTAATACCGATATTTTACATTACTACAATGCAATGTACATGTGCACATCCAAGAAATGTATAAGACACTAAACCATAAAGCATGCCAGACTGAATTTTAGAAGTTCAAAAAGAAATCCAGTCATGAATACTGCCATATAAAAATCACTGTTAAACCTGATCATCATACGCTCTTTTAACTTTGCATCACTTAGATTGTACCACTCAAGCTTGAAAGCTGTGACGACAAACATTTTTGTGGAAACGTGGAAAGGTGTAGAGCTGATGTAGCTAGGAGCCTGGAATCCAGGAGGGCTAAATGGGAGACTCACCTTTCCTTTCCAATAAGCCAGAGGATCAGAATTTCCTGACAGAGGGTTTGCTCAGGTAGCTTAACGTTTCTGCAGTCGAGATGTTTCAGCAAAGCGATAGATCATATCTAAAATTGGTCTGCTGTGTGTCTTATGTGGAGGGTACATAGCTATGTCAGGCCGGTATTTTGCAAAGTTCCCAAGTGATTTTAAATTTGTTATGGTGTGAACTCATGAAACATGGATAGGCCATCCTATCTTCATCTGAAATTATAGCATCCCTCTAAAATCGCTGTTGCTTTTGGATTCGACGCCAGGGAACTTCCAGCTGTCCAGCTACACGTGATCAGAACAGGGGCCAGTTTGTCATCACACTCACTGCATCAATCCCAACAGCCATGATATGGATATTGAGGTTCTGCTCAGCAGTCCTTATGCTCATTGCATTAAGCACCCAATAAAAATTGAGCCAAACTACTCTTCAAATCTAATGGTTGAAGAATGGTTAACAGAAAAAAATTAGGCAAGTTATGTGCAAACATTGGTATTGTTCAGTACCAGTGAAAAGCTCTGAAAGTTTGCTCAACTTCAGTTCGTTATCAACACCACCAATGAATTGGAACCAAGCCCTGAACAATTTGTGTGCTTGTTTTTCTAACTGGAAAACACTTTTAAAAGCCACTTTTAAAGGCATTGTATAAAATAATTATTATTATTAATAAAATAGTATTATTATAATTAACATATCCTTTAACCTCATTAAACATCAATACCTTAATACTATGATTATCTTTAATTTCTTACAATACTTATGGACTAAAGTACTATACATCACTTTAGCGAATTTTCTGGAATGTCTACATTAGAATGAAAACTTAAAATCTACAAACGATGCTATCCACCACAACATGCATTAACAGTGGTGTAGTTTGTTTTTCCTGTGTGCAACCCCACAATTTTTAAGAGCATTTAAAGATTAAACCATTACAAATTTGCCTGTGAATAATATGAACAGAAGCAAAATATTTTAAAGACATTTTTAGCTGAAATCAGGTCTATTGGAAACAATTGTTCCAGCATATGTGTTAAGATTACATGGACAGTAAAATTACATGCAAAACGAAAGGATCTACAATGACTGTGTGACAGGTTCTTACAGTAATACTCTGTACACCAGAGCAAAGAATTCTCATAACATAATGAACATCTGAAATGCCCACACACATTATGAATACTGTGAAACACACACACGATACTTGTCCCTTTGCAGTCTATGCATGCTGACGCAGCTACCCACCTGAACTACTACACACATACAGTAGCTTATTACTTCAACAATAATGCAAGTACATTTATGATTGTGTTTCCCCACAATACAATTATAAAACACAAGCACAAAAAGGCATAAAAACATCTAGGAATGAAAGAAAAACCATGTAGTGTTCAAACACACTCACAGAAACAGCCACAATTCTGAGTGAAAGAAAACACAATGTGTCTGGCACATCTGCTTGCAGCTGTTCTTCAGTTTTAAAAGCTGCTCTAGAAAATTAGCTCCATTAAGTCAGTGTG